TATAATATTATAAAACAAATGCTTATATTTCTGTACATAACATATATGTATATATATATATATATATATATTTAATATATATAATATATATATATAATATATATATATTATATATATAATATATATATATATATTATATAGAATATTATAAAACAAATGCTTATATTTCTTTACATAAGATATATGTATATTATATCTATTTTTGCATTTATTAATTAATCTCCTTATGTTGAGGTGTTTTCGATGTTTGCGTTTGCTGCTGCTTTGCTGCTGCTGCTGCTTTGTTGCTGCTGCTGCTTTGTTGCTGCTGCAGCAGACACGGCAGTGGCGAGGAAGGCAGCAGGAGGGGCTTGGGGATCTCTGAAGCAGACGCGCAGCAGCAGCAGCAGCAGCAACAGCTGCAGCAGCTGCAGCAGCTGCAGCAACACGAGCTGCTGCTGCTGCACGCCCAGGAGCAGCAGCAGCAGGCTCAGGCCCATCGGCTGCACCGAATAGAGCCGCGGCCCCCGCCGCTGCTGCAGCAGGAGCTGCAGCAAGATGAGCAGCAGCAGCAGCAGCAGCAGCAGCAGCAGCAGCTGGCCACCAAATATGACTTTTTAACAACTCCAGAAGGCGTCTGCTGCTTAAAGACCCCCGCCAGCACCTGCGACAGCGACAGCATCCACCCCGAGGATGAAGCAGCAGCAGCAGCAGCAGCAGCAGCAGCAGCAGCAGCAGCAGCAGCAGCAGCAGCAGCAGAGGGCGAGGGCAGCAGGCTACCAGCAGCAGCAGCAGAGCAGCTCCTGGCCCCAGCAAGACTAAGACATCTTTCACCTTCTTGCTGGGTACTGCCCCTTCACAGTCCGGGGGCCCCCGAGGGGGCCCCCCTGAGGGGCCCCCTAAAGGGCCCCCTGGGGGCCCCCCTGGAGGCCCCCTTGGAGGCCCCCCTGGGGGCCCCCCTGGGGGCCCCCGCCCAGGGGGGCCCCCTGGGGGCCCCCCGGGGGGCCCCGCTGGGGGCCCCTCGGGGGGCCCCCTTATCTCTGCCGCCAAGTAAGAAAGAGACTCTGGCTGTAGTTTTGGTTCTCTCATCTTTCGGTTTTTGTCTATTTCGAGTTTGCTGCTGCTGCTGCTGCTGCTGCTGCTGCTGCTGCTGCTGCTGCTGCTGCTGTTGCATTTAATGTTTTTAGTCTCCTGGGGAGTTTGCTGCTGAGGCTTCTTTGCTCTGCTGCTGCTGCTTTCTACTCGTCTCTTCGCTTCTGCTTCGCGGTTGCCGCTTGCTGCTTCTTTAGTTTCTGCTGCTGCTGCTGCTGCTGCAGGTGCTGCTGCTCCTGCTGCTGCAGGTTCTGCTGCTGCTGCTGCTGCTGCTGCTATGGGATTCTGACGTGGCTGCGATTGCGGGTTTTGCTGTCATCGCTCTTACAGGTTGCGTTGCTGCTGCTGTAGACTTTGCTGCTGCTGCTGCTGCTGCTGCTGCAAGCTGTGCTGCTGCTGCAGACTGTGCTGCTGCTGCTGCTGCTGCAGGTCCTGCGGCTTCTTGTCTCTTCTCAGTCTCAGAAGACGGGGGCCCCCCCTCGGGGCCCCTAGGGTCCCCCTTGGGGGCCCCCGGGGGCCCCCTAGGGGACTATAGGGATTCAGGAACTCTACAAAAAGAAGTAATTAATTAATTAATTAATTAATTAATTAATTAATTAATTAATTAATTAATTTTTAATTTCTTTTTGTCTCTTCTCCAGACTTAAATCCATTTAATGCATTTGCTGCAGCACTTTTGACTCAGGCCAAACAGCCCTAGCGAAAGATTAGCAGCATTGCTGCTGCTGCTGCTGCTACCGCCCCTGCTGCTGCTACCACTACTAGTGTTGCTGCTGCTGCTGCTGCTGCTGCTGCTGCTGCTGCTGGCGTACTGTTGGCTGCGTGAGCTGCTGGGGTGTACGTACAGCTGAGGGCCCGTGTGGGGTGTCTTGTGTCTGCTGCTGCAGCAACTTTGCTGGGGCCTCCCCAGGGCCTCCTCGCTGCTGCTGCTGTCCCCCCAGGGGCCCCCCAGCCCCTGCTGCGGGGCCCCCGGGGCCCCCGGGGCCCCGGGGGCCCCCGGGGCCCCCGGGGGGCCCCCCGGGGGCCCCCCTGATGGGGAAGAAAGTTCAACAGCATTTTGTGAGTCTCCATTATCTGCTGCGACGCGGTGTACGTACAGTCCACCGGACACGCCGTTGACAGCAGCAGCAGCAGCAGCAGCAGCAGCAGACGAAGACGCAGACAGCAGCATTTTCTCTCCCTTTTCCCCCCTAGGGGACGCAGCAGCAGAGGGGCCCCCAGACCCTTTTCCATTCTCCAAAGGGGGCCCCCAGGAGGGGGGCCCCCAAGAGGGGGGCCCCCAGGAGGGGGGCCCCCAGAAGGGGGGCCCCCAGGACGGGGGGGCCCCCGGGGGGCCCCTAGAGGGCCCCAAAGGGGCGCCTTGGGACCTGCTGCAGCAGCTGCAGCAGCTGCCTGCTGCTGCTGCTGCTGAGAGCGGCGAGGAGCCGACGGAGACAGAAGAAAAAGCTGAAAAGGAAAAAGAAAAAAAGAAAATCAAAAAAACAAAAGGAGAGACATTTGACCCTCTTCTAGCAGATTTAGAGCTCGCGGTCCGCCACATGTGCTGGAGTTGGAGGCCCCAAGGGCCCCCGGGGGCCCCGGGGGCCCCGGGGGCCCCGGGGGCCCCAGGGGCCCCGGGGGCCCCAGGGGCCCTGGGGGCCCCGGGGGCCCCGGGGGCCCCGGGGGCCCTGGGGGCCCCGGGGGCCCCAGAGGTCTTGGGGGCCCCAGAGGTTCTGGGGGCCCCAGGGGCCCCCGCGGGAGATGGGGGGCCCCTTCAGTTTCAGCGGTGCGCGCCTGCCAGCTGTACAGACACCCCAAGACATTGCTGGAACCAGCAGCAGCAGCAGCAGCAGCAGCAGCAGCAGCAGCAGCAGCAGCAGCAGCAGCAAAGACAACTGAGCGGTTTTTTCTCCGCGCCTGCTGCTGAAGCGTGGCCAGGGGCCCCCCCCTCCCAGCCTGCTGCTGCTCCCGTGTGGGGCCCCCGTTTGCTGCTGCATGCAAAGGGGGGGGAGGGGGGCCCCCAGGGGCCCCCATTGAACTCGAAGTGGCAGAAGCAAATGTTGGCGGACTGCACATCTGCTGCAGCTGTGGGGCTTTGAAAAAAGCGGCCAGCAGCAGCAGCAGCAGCAGCAGCAGCAGCAGCAGCAGCAAAGCGGCAGCGGCAGCAGCTGCAGCCGTCGCAGCAGCAGCAGCAGCAGCAGCAGCAGCCGCAGCAGCAGCAGCCGCACTGTAGCTGCAGCAACAGCAGCTGCTGCTGCAGCAGCAGCTGCTGCTGCTGCTGCTGAGAATGGGACAGGAAGAAATGAACAGCAAAGGAAAGGAAAGGTTTGTTGCCTTAGAGTTTGTGTCTCTTTTTAATCAAAGACGCAGCAGGTCTTCGTGCTGCAGCAGCAGCAGGGGCCCCTGTGGGTTCGGCAGGGACGGACAGCAAAGACTGCTGCTGCTGCTGCTGCAGCAGCAGCAGCAGCAGCAGAAGCGGCGCGGGCCGCCACAGCAGCGGCGGCGGGACTTTTTCTTTTTGTTGTCGGGGCTGCTGCTGCTGCTGCTGCTGCTGCTGCTGCTGCTGCTGCTTCTGCTTTAATCTCTTTAGTTATCTTCGAAAGTGGCGAGCTGATGTTTTGTTTAGTGCGCTGAGGTGTACGTACACCTGGCGCCTGCGGGCTGCGCCCCGCGAGCCCCCAGCAGCTGCCTCTGCTGCTGGCCCCACACTGCAGCAGCAGCAGCAGCAGCAGCAGCAGCAGCAGCAAGCAGCAGCTCGGGGGCCCCCGGGGCCCCCCGCCCTCCAAAAGGAGCGGCGAAGGGAAAGAAGGCGGAGGCGAGTTGGGGTGTATAGACAGGTCTGGGCGAAGGTCGTTTTTTGAAGTTTTGTGTCTTTTAAATATTTCTGAAACTCCAATTAGTCTTTTTATTCTTCTTTTCCTTTTCTTTCTTTTCCAAAACCCTAAATTAGGGTTTCTCTTTTGCTGCAGTCTTCTTCGCTTTCTCGTTTCGTGCGTGTCTTGCTGGCGGCTCTTGAGCAGCTGCTGCAGCAGCAGCTGCTGCTGCTGCGCTGCTCCCGTAGCAGCAGAAGGGGCAGCAGCAGCTGCTGCTGCTGCGCTGCTCCCCTGGCAGCAAAAGAGCAGCAGCAGGTTCTGCTGCTGCGCTGCTTCTTCGGCAGCAAAAGAGCAGCAAAAGAGCAGCAGCAGCAGCCGCTGCTGCTGCAGCAGCTGCTGCTGCAGCAGCAGCAGCTGCTGCTGCTGCGTCTCGAGCCCGTGCACTGCAGGGGTCGCGCATGCATGCGCGGGCTCGTGGGAGTGTGGGGTGGTTCGGGTGTACGTACACCTCAGCTTCGGCTTGCGTCTTTGTTTCAGCAAAGCCTCAAATTAATCTTCACTTCTTTTTCTAGAATTAAATAAAAGTGTCAGCGCCGCAACCTTTTTAAAACTCCCCACTGGACCAATGGTCCTCAGTGGTTCAATACGCTTTATGATCTTCCTGCTGCCTTTTGCTGCTGCAGCGTCTGCTGCTGCGTTTTGCTGCTGCTGCGTCTGCTGCTGCGTTTTGCTGCTGCTGCGTCTGCTGCTGCGTTTTGCTGCTGCTGCGTCTGCTGCTGCTGCTGCGCCTCCTGCTGCTACTGCATCGCTTGCTGCTCCTGCGTCCTCTGCTGCGTGTCCGGGTGCTGCTGCGCCTGCTGCTGCTGCTGCTGTGTCTCTGTGTCTTAGCTGCTGCTGCTGCTGCTTCTTGCTGCTGAAGAGTAGTTCCTAAACAGTTCTTTTCTAATCAGCTTTCTGCAGCAGCAATGCGGTCCTTGCTGCCAGCACGCAGTGTACGTACACCTCAGAAAGTAGATACAAGACGCTTCAGGTGTACATACACCCCAGCAACTAGGGGCCCCTGGGGGCCCCCCTTGGGGCCCCTTTGGGGCCCCTTTGGGGCCCCTTTGGGGCCCCTTTGGGGCCCCTTTTGGGCCCCTTGGGTCTAATTTAGCTTCGCCTCACTAAGGCAGTTTCGTCTAGAAGAGTCTAAAAGCAGCAGTTTGGCCCAGCAGCAGCAGCAGCAGCAGCAGCAGCAGCAGATAAATGTTCTTTTAATTTACTTTGTTGCCGCGTTCCTGCGGTCCGCGCATCTCTTTCGCAGCTGCTGCTGCAGTTGCTGCAGCAACTGCAGCAACTGCAGCAGCAGCAGCAGCAGCAGCAACTGCAGCACGGGTACCAGCTACAGATATTTCTTTCTGAACTTTTATTTCCTCAAATAAACACTAAAAGATCCAAAGATCTGGGGGCCCCCAGCTTGTCTTTGTGGGGCCCCCCTCAGCAGCAGCAAATAACTGCAGCAACAACAGCAGCAGCAAACGAGTAAATATGAACAAGACTACTAAGCCCTGCTGGCTAACGCCGGAGCAGCCCTGCAGCAGCAGCAAGCAGCAGACAAGCTGCTGCAGCTGCTGCAGCTGCTGCAGCTGCTGCTCTGCAGCAGCAGCAGCAGCAGCAGCAGCAGGAAAGAGAGAGGCGACACAGCCACAGGGCTGTGGAAAACGGCGAAAAGCCCCGCAGCTGTTTCGGGGAGCTGCAGCGGCGCTGCAGGAGGAGTTGAAAAGCGGCGAGCGGTGGAAAAGGGGGAAAGTTGAGGGCAAATGGAGAAAATAAAAAGCAATTAAAAGAATTATAATTCAAAATTAGTCCAAAAAGTCCGAAAAAAGTGCTCAATCTCGCTCCGGCGAGACACCAACTGGCCGGCGGGCAGCTCCCCTACGCCGCCGCGCGGCAGACGGGGCGTTATTTTGGGGCGTTTTTCGCGGCTCTTTGGGGCCTTAAAAGGAGAAATAAAGTTTGAAAATAAAAAAGAAGAAATAAAAATTGAATTAAAAGAAAAAGGGGGGAAAACGCGGGCGAAAAGGCGAGCCGCGGCGTCGCGGTCTCGGCAGGCTGCGCCGCGCCTGGTCCACTGGTGCACACAGCTGCTGGGATTTCTGCTGGTTCTTTCTCCCGCTAAAAGTCCTTTTCGAAATATAAATGCCATTAAATTGATTTTGGCAGTTGTGAAAAAGGGGTTTGGTGCGAATTGCAGTGTCTACACACCTCGATTCACGGCGGTCCGTGCTTCCGGAGCTGGCCGCGAGTCTCGGGGCTTCGCGGCTCTCTCTGCGCCGAATATTCGTTTTATTTTGGGTTTTTCCTTTTGCATTTGCATTAAAAAGAAGAATAAGCTCGGAAATTCCGGAGAAGGGGCTCCGTGAGCGGGTGCAGGCTGCGAGTTGAACTGCGGGTGCCCGGGCACTTCCGCAGCTCCCCCACCGCGGAAAGCTGCCGCAAAACCCGAAATCCTCTTCACTTTTCGCCTTTAATAGCTTTTTTGGCTTCTTTGGCGGCCAGTTGGAGGCCCGAAAGTGCCGGATCGCGCAGTTTTCGGCGGAGTGGACTGCTGGTTCGGGGGGTCTGGAGGTGATCTGCTGCGCGTCGAGGCCTCGAGAGCCGCTCTTTTCGCAGCAGGTGCCTTCGCAGAGCTCGCCTTCACTTTTCTTTTCTTTTTAATTCCAAAAGGAGCTCGAGACGAGCCGTTTTCCCCGAGGATTCCTGCTGCAGCGCAGCAGCAGCAGCAGCAGCAGCAGCAGCAAACTTGCACACGGTGGGCCGCTGGCGTCGCAGGCTTTCCGGCGCCCCCCGCTCTCCAGAGTTGTTTCCGAAGAAGTTTTTTCGCTTTTTGTTTTCTTTTCAGTGCCTTTTTTGCTGCAGCAATGCACACTTTGCTGCGGAGTCGCCCCGGCAGCAGCAGCAGCAGCAGCTGCTGCTTTTTTGCCTTTCTTTGCTGTGTCTTGCTGCTGTCTAGACAGCTCGCGGGGGCCTCAGACATCTCCCCCCCTGTGGAATTAACAGCAGCAGAAACTGTGGCGCCGCTGCAGCAGGGCGCAGAGGGTCCCGCAGCAGCAGCAGCAGCAGCAGCGGAGGACCTCCCTGCAGCGGCGGGGGGGGCGGAGGAGGCTGAAGCAGCAGCAGCAGCAGCAGCTGCTGCTGCTGCTGCTGAAGGGGAGCCGGGGGGCAGCGCGGGAGGCCCTGCTGCAGCAGGAAGCCTCCTGGGGGCAGCTCTTGCTGCTCGTCGGTGGCGGGCGTTGGGAAGCAGGAAGCAGCTGCTGGGGGTGAGTCTGCTGGCAGCAGCAGCAGCAGCAGCAGCAGCAGCAGCAGGCCTGTGGGGCCTGCGGGTGCGGGCAGCAGCGCGGCGGCGGGGCGAGAAGGTGCAGCAGCTGCTGCTGCTGCGGCCGTATGTGGAGAAGCTGGGGGAGTTGTTGGGGGAGGAAGCAGCAGATTTGGTGCTGCAGTTCCCGCTGCAGCTGGAGGAAGCAGCAGCAGCGCAGCAGCAGCTGGAGGAGGCGCGGAGCCCGCTGCAGCAGCAGCGGCTGCTGCAGGTGGTGGACGGGCGCGTGGAGCCGCTGCTGCAGCTGCTGCAGCAGCTGCAGCAGGAAGCAGCAAAGGAAGCAGCAGCACTGACGGAAGTTTCTCCCCTAGATGTGGAAACTTGGGAAGCAATAGTGCAGCGGCCGCTGCGGCAAGCAGCAGCAGCAGACGTGGCAGGGGGTTGTGGGGTGCTGCTGCAGCAGGTGCAGCAGCAGCACGCTGCGCGGCGCAGCAGCCTGGCAGCAGCAGCAGCGGCGCTGCAGGCGCTGCCGCAGGCGCGGGAAGCCGCAGCAGCGGGCGCGCTGCAGCAGCTGCTGCAGCAGCTGCTGCAGCAGCAGCTGCTGCTGCAGTTCCACGCAGAAGAAGCAGAACAGCTGCAGGACTTGTGGGGCAGCGGCCTTGTGCTTGCGGAAGCTGTAGTGCGGGAAAGGTCTGCGGGGAACCTTGGGGTGTACGTACAGCAGCTGCAGGGAGAACTCGATTTGCTGCAGGCTTTTTGCTTCCTTGTTGCTGATGGAATGGAAGCAGCATCTCCTCAAGGAAGAAGAACTTTGCAAAGAATTCTTGCGAAAAAAGAAGCAGTTTTCGCGAAGTTCGCGCTGCTGCAGCAGCAGCAGCAGCAGCAGCAGCAGCAGCAGCAGCGGGACACTGCTGCAGTCGTTGCTGCTGACGCGGAAGCTGCTGCTCTCGCCAAGGAAGTCTGGGCTGCTGCTGAGGGCTGTTTGGCGGAAGTGAAGGCAGCAGAGTTGCTGCTGAGTTCGCGGGAAGCAGCGCAGCAGCAGGCAGTGCAGCAGCTGCAGCAGCGCGCAGCAGCAGCAGCAGCGCTGCTGCAGCAGGCGCAGCAAGACCTCGAAGCTGCTGCGCAGCGCATGCAAAAGGAATTCACAGGCCTCGTGCTGCTGCTGCCAGAGACAGTGGAAAACATCTCCGGAGAAAAGATTGCAATGCAAGTCCTGGGGGAACTCCAGGACTTGCAAGTTTTTTTGGAAAAAGTTTCCGAAGTTACTTTAAAAGAATCCCAAACTCTAAATAAAACTAAGTCTTTTCCTTTTGCATGCAGACTGGCTCGTGGGGTGTTTCAGGGGGCAGCGCGGGGTGTCAAGACACTCGCGGGAGCTGCTTCTTTGAAGGGCAGATTTGTTCTTTACCATTTAATAGAGTCCGACATAGCTCAGAGTGCAGACGCGCTGGCCCACGCGCAGCAGCAGCTGCTGCTGCTGCAGCAGCAGCAGCAGCGGCTGCAGCAGCAGCTGCAGCAGCAGGGCGCGGGGCGGGGCGCGCGCGAACCCGCGGAGCTGCTGCAGCAGCAGCAGCAGCTGCAGCAGGTCGTGCAGCAGCTGCAGCAGCTGCTGCAGCAAGCCAGGGAGGCACAAACTGCAGCAAGCAGCGCCACCAGGCTGCAGGAGTTTGCAGAAGCAGGAACTCTAATGCACCAAGCAGCAGCAGACGTGCAGCTGCTGCTGCTGCAGCACAAAGTCCAGGAGGAGATCAGCGGCCAGGCCGAGGAAGAAGAGGCGCAGCAGCAGCAGCAGCAGCAGCAGCAGCAGCAGCAGCAAGACGAGGAGCAAATGCTCAAGTTCAGTGACATTGAGCCCATCATCACTCCCGAGTTCGTCCAGGGATTAGTCCGCAGGCAGCAGGAGAAGAACTTCATCGAGCAGCAGCAGCGCAGGGAGCAGCAGCAGCAGCAGCAGCAGGAAGAAGATGAAATTGACTTGAAACTTGAAGATGCATTTTCTAGTGAAGAGGATGAAGATGAAGAAGAAGAAGAAGAAGAAGACTCCGACGAAGAAACCAGAACCTCCATATAGCAGCAGCAGCAACAGCAGCAGCAGCAGCAGCAGCAGCAGCAGCGGGAGCAGAAGTGCCAGCAGTAGCAGTAGCAGCAGCAGCAGCAGCAGCAGCAGCAGCAGCAGCAGCAGCAGCAGGGGCTGCTGAAGTTTGGAGCCAGAGTAGGGAGGGTGTAAATGAGTTTCGGGTTTATAGACAGACAGCGTAGGAAGGTCTTAATTTGTTGGATGGGAGGTGTCTGTACACCGCAGCGCAGAGTGCAGAACCAGCAGCAGCAGCAGCAGCAGCAGCAGCAGCAGCAGCAGCAGCAGCAAGGGCAGCAGCGGCAGAAGCTGCGGCTGCCTCACGCGCTGCAGCGAATGCAGCGAATGGAGCTACTCGCAGCCGCAGCAGCCGCAGCTGCGGCGGCTGCTGCAGCTGCTACTACTGCTGCAGCTGCGGCTGCAGCAGCAGCAGCAGCAGCTGCGGCGACAGCAGCAGCGGCAGCAGCTGCGGCGACAGCAGCAGCAGCAGCTGCTGCGGCGACAGCAGCAGCAAACGAAAGCGTCAGGATCTTTAGTAGCAAAAAGAACGAAAATTAAAAGGCGAAGTGCGGAGACAATCTGCTCTGTTGGCCAGAAAAAGTGTACAGAGAAAGCCGTTTTATATATATTTATATAATATATATAAATATATATCTATATATTTAATTAAAAATATATTAAATATATATTTAATAAATATATTAAATATATATTTATATGTCCGGCGAGCGGAACGCATGCAGCGGGCGAGGTGTACGTACACCCCGCTGCATGCGCTGCGCACGGCCGCGGTGTCTGTACACTCCAGATCCGTTTTGAATGAGCTGCAGATAAAAGCACTGTTCATAAATGCATTAATGCATTTAAAATGGATCTTTTCTTCTTTGTTGGACTTTTTGCAAATATCCTTTCCCTGGACTTTCTTTTTAGTCGGGGAAAAGCCGAAAAGTGCCTTTTAGGAGCCTCTCAGCGCGCGGCTGCACTTCGCATGCAAAAAGTGTGAAGTGTCTGTTTAAAAATGAACAAATATGTTTATTTATCTGCATTTATCTCGAAAATGTTCAAAAATATACTTTTTAATTCCTATTTATGTAAATCTGTCTGCACTTCTGCGTCTGTAAGTGTGCGTGGGATATCTGCATTCATGCATTCGGGTGTACGTACAGCGCACTGCTGGTAATGTGAACTGCCCCTCCGCACTTTTTGGAAATTTTTGGACTCAGAAAATAAAACAAATAAAATAAAATGCGAATTTAAATAGTAATAATGCATGCGGGCAAAGCTGGGGGCTTGTGCATGCAAGGAAAAGCCAGAAAAATGTCCCGCGCATGCAAATCCGTGAATATAATCCAAAAGATAAAACAAATAAAAATAAGTAAAACAAATCAATTAAATGGCACTTTCCTTTTGTTTTTGTTTTGTTTGTTTCTGCGGAATGGCAGAGAGAGGCGCGCAGTGAGGTGTACGTACACCCCAGAGTTCGAACTGGCTGTCTTTGTTTACGCAGTTCTTTCTCTTGTTGCTGCTGCAGACAAAAGTGCTTTTCTTTTCTTTAATCTGAAACCATTGAAGCACCTTTATTCTCTGTCTCTGTCTTGCTTGATGATGTGTTTAATTATATATATATGTATATATATATATATATATACCTATATATATGTATATATATATATATATATATATATATATATGTAGGTATATATATATAGGTATATATATATAGGTATATATATATATAGCTATATATATATAGTATATATATATATATGCATATATATATATGCATATATATAAATATATATATGTATATATATATATATATATGTATATGTGTATATGCATGTATACAATATGTATACCTATATGTATATGTGTGAACATGTATACATGTACAAATATGTGTGTGCATATGCGTGCATGTATCCATATATATATAATATATATATGTACATATATAAATGTATATGTATGTATGTATGTTATATTTCTAAATATATGTATGTATATTTATATATATATATATACGCATTTATATATTTGTGAATATTTATGCGTATAGATATATATATATATATAATACATATATATATATATATGTATATATATGGATACATATGCACATATATGTATATGTATATATATGCATATATATATCTATATATATTTGTGTGTATAATGTGTGCATTATGTATATGTATTGATGGCGGAATGCAATAAGAAAAGATATTAACTGATTTATATTTATTTATTTATTTATTTGGATTTGTAAAATGTGCCTTTGCATGCAAATGGCCGGCAGTTTCTTTGTGAGTTTGAGGTGTATGTACACCTCAGCGCCGAACGCGGAGGCGCCTTTCGGGTGTACGTACACTTGAATTGAAGAGTGCATTCTAGGCAAAAGTGCCCTCTAAAGGAAACTAATAAAGAAGCTCGAAATAAATAAATTAAATGCAAATTATTTTCTTTGAGAGGCTTTTTAGAAGAGCCTTTAAAGGGCATTTTCTGCAAATGCGGGGTGTATGTACACTGGAAGTTCGCTTAAATGCTTCATGCTTTATTTGTTTGTTGTCTTCTTTTATTTATGCTTATTATATATTTTCTTTTTGAATATTTTGCTATTTATCGTCCTTAACATTATATTCATTTATTTGTGTTTATTTGTTTCGAACGTGTTGTTTATTTATTTGCATTATATGTTGCATGCATTTATATATATTTGCATGCATCATATTGTGGGTTATATTATGTGATTTATATGTATTTGCATGCATTCTATATTTATGTGTGTAATAGCATTATCTATATTATATATATATGTATATATATATATATATAATATATATATATATTGTATGTGTTTGTGTGTATTGTGCTTTGTGTGTGTTTATATTTATGTCTTACCCATTATATGTATTTATATATATTGCATGTATATATGTGTGTTCAATTTTAGATAATATTATATATATATTATCTAATATATACATACATATATTATGTATATACCACATATATCTCATATATATTTATATATATATATATATACATATATATATGAGGTATATGTATGTATATATATTTATATGTGTATATATAATATACATATATGTGAATGTGGCGCATTCTTTGGAATTTTTTTGAGTTCTTTTTTAATGAAAAAGTGCATTTAATGTTTAATTTTAAAGTGCTTTTTAAAGATGAAGTGCATTTGATGTTCAGTGGACTTGTGCAGAATGTCTTAAGTGAAAAAATGGGCTTTCGGTGAAGTGCTCAGGCGAAGCGTTCGGGTGTACGTACACCTGGGGCGGAGTGCATGCGTTCGGGTGTACGTACACTTGAGACAAGTGGTGTTGTGCATGCAAAAGTGGAGTTATTTGTGGTAGATTAGTAATGCTTTTTATGGAAATAAGTGCAATTAAGTGGTTGTTTATATTTATAATTGCATTTAGAGTTTGCATTTCCAAATAATTTATTTCCAAGTCCATTTATTGCATGCAGCTGCCTCTCTAGTTTTGTTATGGCGCGGCAGTGAGTTAAGTGCTTTTTGGAAGTCTTTGGTTTTATTCTTTTTATTCTTTTCATTCTTTTTGTTCTTTTTATTCTTTTTTCCCTTCATTCTGTTTATTCTTTTTATCCTTTTTGTTCTTTTTAGTCTTTTTATTCTTTTATTCTTTCAGTCTTTTTGTTCTTTTTGCCTTTTGCTCCTGTGTCTTCGCGAGCTTCTTTTGAGGATTTCCTCTTTTTAATTGGACGAGTTTATTTATTTCTTTATTTCTTTTATTCTTTATTTCTTTATTTCTTTTATTCCATTTATTTATATTTGCGATTAGTTTTCTCTGAGGCTTATTAATTATTACTTCTGATATCTTCATTATTTATTTATCCTTTTAGCTTCCCAGGCGCGCGCGACTCGACTTTTGAGATTTAGTTCGAAATCCAAAAAGTTTGAATTCTAAAAAGTTCAAATTTTAGGAATTTTGATTTCGAAAAACCACTTTTTGTTCTTTTTAATTATTTAAATGAATTAGCGGAAGATAAATGCAGTTTCGGAACTTCATTTTCTCGATTCTCTTCAATTCGGGACGGGCCCTTCTTCGGGGGGGGCCATCGGGGGCGGGAAGTTGGGATTTCAGCGGCCAAAACTATTTATTTATTTCTTTTTAATGAATTAGAAAGAATTAAAAAGAAATAAATAAATAGTTTTGAGTGTTAGGGGCTTTAATTTGGAGTTTCGAGGGTTTTTGTCCGGCGGCGTTCGGGTGTCTCGACACTGCGCGGACCGGAGCAGTGGCCGCGGCCGTGCGATCTTCGCGAAAAATGGATCAAAAGAATTAATTTTGGACTTAAAAAGATCGAAATTGAATTTAATTTGCACTTTAAGTTCTTAATCGCGTTGAAAAACGCCGTTTCCGCGGAAGCCGATGCTGCGAGGGAGTCTGCAGCCCCGTGGGTGCCGCCCGAGGCCCCGCCGGCGCCATTCTCTCGATTTCGCGTTATTTTGCAGATCTTTTTTGATTTTGAGAATTAAAATTCAAAAGATTTGAATTATTTGAATTATTTAATCCATTTAGAGCCTTTTTTCCCTCCAGATCCAGGGGCCGCGCCGGCCGGCCGCCCCGCTGCTGGGGCCCCTCCCCACAAGCTCTCTGCAGTTTTGCTGCGCAGCTTCGACTCTTTTTGAATTTCTTTTTTCTTTTTATTTTCGAAAATGGAGTTGGGAGGTCTGAAGGTCAAGGTGAGTTTCAAGCGGCCTCCAGAACGCCTGCTGCTGCTGCTGCTGCTGCTGCTGCTGCTGCTGCTGCTGCTGCTGCTGGGTTTGCTGCTGCTGCTAGGTTTGCTGCTGCTGCTGCATCTGCTAAGGAACAGCTCAGCAACTCGGCGGAAGATCCCAGCAGCAGCTGAGATTCCAAACCGCAAACCCTCGCGAGGGTTTCGGAGGGTTTGGTCTTCCCGTCCTGGAGCCTAGGGTTTAGGGTTTAGGGTTTAGGGTTTAGGGTTTAGGGTTTAGCGGCTCGAAGCCCCGTTTCTTCTCCACCAGCCCGCACGCAGTCGCGCGCGCCCCGCCGAAGCGCAGCAGCGCAGCCCGTGGGCTGGCAGGCCCAGGGTTTAGGGTTTAGGGTTTAGGGTTTAGGGTTTAGGGTTTAGGGTTTGTTGCAGGATCTGGCTCCGGTGCTTTCTGCTGCTGCTCTCATCGACGTTTGCCTCTCCAAGACGCAGCGCAAAACCCCCACGGAAGTTCACAAAAGCTGCAGCATAAATTTAATTCGAAAGTTTTATATTCGCAAAGTCAAAACTGCTGCGCAGTTCTTCACTGAAAAACTCAAGGCCATCACCGCCCTTTTTCCCAAACTCGAGGTACTGCTGCTGCTGCTGCTGCTGCTGCTGCTGCTGCTGCTGCTGCTGTGGCGGTGGTGTGCTGCTGCTGCTGCGGGTGGCGGTGGTTTGGGGGTGCTTTTTCTGCTGCTGCTGTTGCTGCTGCTGCTGCTGCTGCTGCTGCTGTTGCTGCTGCTGCTGCTGTTGCTGCTGCTGCTGCTGTTGCTGCTGCTGCTGCTGCTGCAGCTGGAGGTGGGCTGTGGAGCGGGTGTGTGCAGAGTCTGCATCCGTTTTACGCGGACTTGCTGAACATTTTGTACGACAGAGACCACTACAAGTTGGCGCTGGGCTCTGTTGCTGCAGCAGCAAATCGAATTGAAAAGATTTGCAAAGAATACATCACAATTTCCAAGTACTCCGACTCGCTGTACAAGTCCAAGTGTCTCAAGACCGCGGCTCTCGGCAGATACTGCACAGGCGAGCCGCTTTTTCCTTTTCTTTTCGCCAAATTTATTCTTTTTGTCTTTCACTTTCTTTTATTTGTCTTTGGCTTTTTTTATTTTTCTTTGGCGCGCTTTTATTCCGCTTTTTTCCGCCTTTTCGCGCCGGAGAAACCGCTTTTCCGGCGGGCCTGTTCTTGGCGAATCTGGGGTGTTCAGCTGAGCTCTTTTCTCATTTTTGCACGGCAAATACGGAATTTATTTCGTTTTTATTGTTTTAAAAAAGCTGTATTTGTTGTGCTTTCCTTTCTGGCGCGAAATTCGCTTTTTCCCGCTTCCCGAGGTGCCTGTACACCTGGCGGCGTTCAGGTGTACAGGCAGCTCCGGCATTCCAATTGGAGCGCAGCGGGCGATTTCGAATTATTTGAATTATTTTCGTTTTTCGGATTTAAATTGCGCAGCAATCTTCATTTATTATTCAAATTCTTTTGCACTTTTGCATTTGAGCCGCAGATCGCTGCTGAACAGTTCAAGTTTCCGTCTCGGGCTGCGCGTCCGCAGCTCCGCGATCCTCCGTTTTCTGGACGATTTCTTTGATTTTTTATGTTTTTGAATTGCATTTAAATCGAAATTGAATTAAATTTGAATTAAATTTGAATTAAATTCGAATTAATGGAGGAAATGCGGCGTTTGGGTTGCGTTGTCAGTGGTGAAGAAGCTGGCGAAAGTGCTGGAGTACCTGGAGGAAGTGCGGCAGCACCTGCAGCGGCTGCCGAGCATTCAAACTGCGCAGCGAACTTTGCTGCTCGCGGGATTTCCAAATGTCGGAAAAAGTTCTTTTTTGAATAAACTTTCCAACGCCAACGTCGAAGTCCAGCCCTTCGCCTTCACCACCAAAAGCCTCTTCGTCGGCCACTTCGACCACCTCTACGCGCGCTGGCAGGTCCGCCCTGCTCCGCTCCTGCTGCTGCTGCTGCTCAGCAGCAGCAGCAGCAGCAGCAGCAGCGCAGCTGCTGCTGGTGGTGGTGCTGCGCTGCTGCTGGTGGTGCTGCGCTGCTGGTGGTGGTGCTGCGCTGCTGCTGCTGGTGCTGCGCTGCTGCTGCTGGTGGTGCTGCGCTGCTGGTGGTGGTGGTGGTGGTGGCTGCGCTGCTGCTGCTGCGCTGTTGCTGCTTTGTTGCTGATCTGGGGCTGTGCTGCTGTTGTGCTGCTGCGCTGCTGCTGCTGCTGCTGCTTTGTTGCTGCTGGGTTGCTGCGCTGCTGCTGCTGCGCCTGCTGCGGGGTGGATGCTCCTGATGGAGATCTTGCGGCTCGTTCTAGAGCGACAGCAGCGGCGCTGCTGCTGCTGCTGCTGCTGCTGCTGCTGCTGCTGCTGCTGCAATGAGTAGTAAATAGTTTTAAATAATTGAATTGTTTTAATTATTTGTTTTCTGTTTTTAAGGTAATTGACACTCCGGGAATTTTGGACCATCCTCTCGAAGAAAGAAACTTAATCGAAATGCTCGCCGTGGCGGCGCTGACGCATTTGAATGTAAATTAAATTAAATTAAATTAAATTAAATTAAATTAATAATTTAATTAAATAAATAATTAAAATTAATTAAATTAAATTAAATTAATTAATTAATTGAATGTGCTCATTAATTAATTGGTTAGTTGCGTTAAATTGAGCTGCTGCTGAGTGGTTTGCTGCTGCTGCTGCTGCTGCTGCTGCTGCTGCTGCTGCTTTTTTGAATTTCTTTTTCGATTTTTTTGAAATTATTTCTTTACGAGTTAGTTAATTGACTCTTATTAATTAATTAAACCAATTAAACTAAATAATTTATTTACTAGTTATTTGGTTTATTTATTATTTATTTGTTTTGCTGCTGCTGCTGCTGCTGCTGCTGCTGCTGCTGCTGCTGCTGCTGCTGCTGGTTTGTGCGCAGTGCGTAGTGCTGTTTCTGGTGGACGTGAGCGAAGAGTGCGGCTATTCGCTGCAGCAGCAAATTCAACTTTTCAAAAATGTTTTAATTTTATTTAAAAAAAAACCAAAACTTCTCATTCTCAACAAAACTGACAAACGCCCGCTGCAGCAGCTGCAGCAGGAGGAGCAGCAGCTCCTCAAAGACTTGGAAAAGGGTGCGCAACGCTCCTCCTGCTGCTGCTGCTGCTGCTGCTGCTGCTGCTGTGTCTGCTGCTGCTGCTGCTGCTGCTGTGTCTGCTGCTGCTGCTGCTGTATCTGCTGCGGCTGCTGCTGTATTTGCTGCGGCTGCTGCTGTACCTGCTGCGGCTGCTGCTGTGTCTGCTGCGGCTGCTGCTGTGTCTGCTGCTGCTGCGTTGCTGTGAATGCTGCTGCGGCTGCTCTTGCTGCAGCTCGTGCGTCTGCTGCTTCTGCTGCTGTTGCTTCTGCTGCTGTTGCTGTTGCTGTTCTTGCTTTTGTTGTTGCTGCTGCTGATGCTGCTGCTGCTGCTGCTGCTGCTGCTGCTGCTGCTGCAGAGGCCGATGTGTGTATTGCTGCCACTTCGACGCTGACTGGGGAGGGTCTAGACGAAGCAAAGAATAAGGCCTGCGAGTTGCTGCTGCAGCAGGCGACCAGCCGCTTGCTGCTGCTGCTGCTGCTGCTTCGCTCGCCATCAAGGGACCTGCTGCAGCAATGCTGCATGTCTCTACAGTGCAGCAGCCGCGAAAGCCAAATATACCAGAAAGTGTTTTAAGAGAAATCGAACTCAAAAAGGTACTCGCTGCTGCTGCTGCTGCTGCTGCTGCTGCTGCTGCTGCTGGTAGTCTTGTTGCTGCTGCTCGCGGTGCTTCTGTTACTGCTGCTGCTGCTTCCACTTGCTTTGATGCTGCTGCTTTGCCGGCGGTGGCTTTCTGGCGTTGCTGCTTCTGCTGCTGCTGCCGCTTTTGCTGCTGCTGCTGCTGCTGCTGCTGCTGCTGCTGCTGCTGCTTGAGTGTTTTAGTAGCTTATTTGCTTCTTGCTGCTGCAGCAAGGAGTGGTGCTGCCGCGGCGGCGGCTCGAAAGAGATATAGAAGAAGAAGAGGGAGGGCCTGGGGTTTACAACTACGACGTTCGCAGTCCGCTAAACCCTAAACCCTAAACCCTAACTTCAAAACCCTAAACCCTAAACCCTAAGTTCCAAACCCTAAACCCTAAGGGCCAAGCCCTAGGGCCTGCGCTGCAGGCGGCGGGTCTGCGGGGTTGCTTTGGGGAGCTGCTGCAGCAGCGTAGCTGCCCGCGTCGCTGCAGCAGCAGCAGCTGCTGCTGCTGCTGCAGTTGCTGCTGCTGCTGCTGCTGCTGCTGCTGCTGCTGCTGCTTGTAGAGGACTACATTTTGGAAAAAGAAGAATGGCGTTATGACATTCAACCCGAATTCTTAAATGGAAAAAATGTCGGAGACTTTTTAGATCCCGACATTAAAGAAAAGCTGATGAAGTTGGAGGAGGAGGAGCAGCAGCTGCTGCAGCAGGAGGAGCAGCAGCAGGAGCAGATTCAGGCAAGGGTTTAGGGTTTAGGGTTTAGGGTTTAGGGTTTGGGGGTTCTGGGGGAATGCTTGTCTGCGGTTTTCTCAACTGCTAGCTGCTGCTGCAGTTTCCTTAGTTTTGTTTTTTTGCTGCTTCTGCTGCTTGCTCGTTCTTGCTGCTGCTGCTGCTGCTGCTACTGCTGCTGCTGCTGCTGCTGCTGCTGCTGCTGCTGCTTTTTCTGTATTATTTTCTTGTCCCTTGGTTTCTTTCTCACTGCTTGTGTGGCTGCTGCTGTTAACTGCTGCTGAATCCTCTGGCCTTTCTCGTTGCTGCTGCTGTCCCGCTGCTGCTGCAGCTGCAGCAAAAGACTGCTGCTGCTTGCTGCTGCTGCTCCACCGTGTTGCGCTGTGTGTTGCTGCAAACAAATGCTGCTGCTGGTGCTGCTGCAAGGAAACGCTGCTGCTGCTTGCTGCTGCTGCTGCTGCTGCTGCTGCTGGAAGCAAACGGTGCTGCTGCTGCTGCTGCTGCTGCTGCTGCTGCTGCTGCTGTCTGCAGCAGCAACTCGCGAACTTAAAAGCAGTGAGGCAGAAGCTGCAGCGGCTGCACAGAGGAATAAGTCAAAAGCGAATGGAAGCAAAACTGAAAAAGAAAAAAAATGGACCTCGTTTGCTTAAAAAGACAGTAAGTTTTATTTATTTTATTTTATTTTATTTTGTTTTATTTTATTTTGTTTTGTTTTTGGACTTTAATTCTTTTTGCCTTTTTTGTTTCTTTTTGCATTTCGTCTTCCTCTTTATTCATCTGTTCGCTTTTTCCGATTCTTTTTGGCCTTTGTTTTTATCTTCCTTTTTTATTTTTATTTTTATTTTTTTTATTTTCATTTTTATTTATTTTTTTCTGCAGCTTTTGCTCTTTTGACTCTTTGTTCATTCTTTGGTTCCTTTTCGTCTTTTTGCTTTTTTATTTTCTCCTTTTTGATCTCATTTCCACTTTTATTAATTAATTAATTTATTTATTTATTTATTTATTTGTTTATTTCCATTTTAAATTTATTTAGTTCATTAAGTAAAATGGACTTTTCTTTTGCTGCTTTGCTGCTGCAGAAGCAGCAGCTGGAAGCAGCACGGAGGGCTTTGAGGGAAGAAGATATAAATTTGAATGAAGCAAAAAGACAAAAGAGAAAACGAGAAGCTTCAGACAGTCCGCAAACCCTAAACCCTAAACCCTAAACCCTAAACCCTGATTTCAGCGGCGCGGGCCGCCGCTTTCCCCCGCAGCTCTCAGCCCCCGCCCGCCTGCCGAGGGCCTAGGGTTTAGGGTTTAGAGCCTGGGGCTTAGGGTTTGCTCAGAGCCCGGGCCTAGGGTTTAGGGTTTAGGGTTTAGGGTTTAGGGTTTAGGGTTTGGGGTTTGGGCGCAGGCATGGAGGTGGAGGGCTCGGGGCGGGAAAAGCTGAAGGCGAAGATTCGGCGTTTGGTGAAGTCTCGAGAAAAGGAGTCGAAAGAAAGAAAAGAATTAAAAGAAAGAAAAGGATTGAAAGAAATAAAAGATTTGAAAGAATTGAAAGAATTAAAAGAAAGAAAAGAAGTGAAAGAAGAACTCGAGGAGTCCGCAGTGGCGCGGGGCCAGCGGCGCAGACTCGGAGGTGTACGTACAGCTCAGGCCTTCAAGTTGAAAAAACAAATCGACAAAAAACTAAAAGGAAAAAAAGGAGAGTCCGACAGATTTATAAATGTGAAGAAGCAGAAGTGGATGCTTTCTGGCAAGCGGACTTTCGGGAAAACCAACAAAAGATGAAACCCCAAAAAAGGGTTTTCCGGGAAAGCAAACAAACGGTGAAACCCCAAAAAAGGGTTTTCTGGGAAAACAAACGAAAGACGAAACCCCAAAAAAGGGTTTTCTGCGGACCCCCTTTCTTCCTTTTTCTTCAATTACTTTTTTCCATTTCAGTCGGTGCTTTGTTGGCTTTTTCGTTCTTTAGTTGTTCAGCAAACGCGAGGGTTTAGGGTTTTCTAAACCCTAAACCCTAACGCTCCCAAACCCTAAACCCTAAACCCTAGGGAACCCGCAAACCCTAAACCCTGCGTTTGCTCCCAGTACAAATTAGTCTGCAGGCAGATAGTCATTGATATGTTGCGAATTGCATTTACAAATATGTTTTTGCAATAATTGTATTTATAAATATATTTAGTTTATTTATTTTTGCAATAATTGTATTTTTAAATATATTTAGTTTATTTATTTTCTAAGAACTAGGGTTTGCAAAAAGCGAAGACACAAGACGAAAAAAGTTGACTTCCGCTCGGGTGTATGTCCAGCAAAGTTGTTCATTTGTTTTCTTTTTTTTATTTCTTTTTCTGTTTCCCTGTTGTTTGGACACAAATGAAAGTTTTCTTTTCATTTATTCTTCCAAATCCGAATTTTAATTTCACTTTCCACTTATTGCGCGTCAGCCGCTTTCCCCGCTCCGCCTGAGGTGTACGTACACCCGAACGGGCGGCGGCGGCCGCGCGGCCCGAGGTGTATGTACACCTCAGCACTGGGGGGCGCGCATGCATGCGAATTAAAGGACTGAGGCCCTTAATTTTGGAATATTCAAATGTGTCGGGGCCTCAGTGCCTCGCGGTGTACGTACACTTCATTTGGCCGCGGGGAGCGCGAGGTGTACGTACACCTCAGCTGGCTGCGGTGTACGTACACCTCAGTTCCCAGCTGTACGTACACCCCAGCGCTGCGCCAAGCGCGCCCCAACGAGTCCGCGGCAATTCTCTAAAGACTATAAATCATAAATCACTAATAGATATATATAAATCCACTTGGAAGCAATTGGCAGCAGCAGGGGCCGCTGCAATTGCATGCGCTGCGGTGTACGTACACCGCAGCTGCGCTGCGGTGTGCGCATGCGCTGCGGTGTACGTACACTCAGAGCTCGTCGTGGAGAGGCGAAGAGTCTTTTGTTTGCATTTCTTTAATTGGAGTTTCTTTTAATTTAATTTTATTTATTTCTTTTTCTTTTATTTGCTGCTTTTCCTGCAGCTCGCTTTCTATCATGTCCGGCAGCAGCACCAGCAAAATGCCAGTGGTCCACGAGACCTCATTTCCGTTAATCTGCAAAACAATAATTCAAAATTAATTCAAAATTAATCATTCAAAATTAATCATTTAAAATTAATAATTCAAAATTAATAATTCAAAATTAATAATTCAAAATTAATAATTCAAAATTAATCATTTAAAATTAATAATTCAAAATTAATTCAAAATTAATGGTTAAAAATTAATAATTCAAAATTAGTAATTCAAAATTAATCATTTAAAATTAATAATTCAAAATTAATCATATAAAATTAATCATTCAAAATTAATCACTCAAAACTAATAATTCAAAATTAATAATTCAGAATTAATAATTCAGAATTAATCATTCAAAATTAGTAATTCAAAATTAATCATTCAAAATTAATAATTCAAAATTAATCATTCAAAATTAATAATTCAAAATTAATAATTCAAAATAAACAATTGAAATAAATGATTTAAAACCAATACTTCAAAGCAAATAATTCAAACAAACGATTTTATTAGCATTTCAATAAAACGCATCTTCCAACTAAATTAATCAATTATTTGACTAATAGGTTAATTAATAAATTACATTAATTAATTAATTACATTAATTAATTAATTAATTAACTAATTACATTAATTAATTAATTAATTAACTAATCAACTAATCAACTAACCAATTATTTGATTAATAATTTAATTAACTAATTAAGTACATTAATTAATTAATTAATTAATTAATTAATCAACTAATCAACTAATCAATTATTTGATTATTATGTTAATTAACTAATAAATTACATTAATTAATTAATTAATTAATTAATTAATTATTAAACAGCTAAAGGCACAACTGTATTTTCGTTTGCTTCACAATTAGCTGCGGATTAACTGACTTGGGAATTCCAAAACTGGCTTTTGTTTGTCACTAATGAATTAAAAAACTGCTTTCCAAATTAAACTCTTCAAAGAATTAATTGGAATTAATTTTTGTTTTCCATTTTTTAAATTTATTTATTTATTTTCTTCTATGCTTCTCTCATTTATACTTTCTTTCATGTTTATCTTTAACTTTTAACTTTATTTATAATTATAACTTCTAATTTTCCATTCTTTTATTTTAATTTTAATTTAATTTTATTTTTTATTTTCATTTTTATAAACTGGCGCCGGCAGTTTGCTGCTGCGGCGCCGGGGTGTACGTACACCCCACGAGGTGTCTGTACACCCGCGGGGTGTACGTACACCCCAGCGCCGCCGCCGCGCTCCCCGAGTCCGTTTTTTTTTTCATTTTTATTTTCTCACTTCATTAACTGCTGCCAACTGCCGCTCTTCGTCGATTTGAAGAACGTCGGACAGAAAATGAGACATCAGCACCAGCCTGTTCGCAAAATGCAAAAAGGAAAAAAGAAAAATAATTCTTTTCCCGAATTTTCAAACTTTGAAACTTTTGCATGCAAAGATTTATCTGAATTGAAACACTGAGCACTGCATGCATTCTTGCATTCACTACATTTTATCCATTACACCTGCTACACAATATGTGCTCCAGCAGCAGCAGCAGCAGCAGCAGCAATAGCAGTGGCAGCAGCAGCAGCAGCAGCAGCAGCAGCAATAGCAGTGGCAGCAGCAGCGCGCATTCCACCGAAGCAGCCTGCTCGTGCCTCTCCTGCTGCTGCAGATGCGTGTACGCAGCACCAGCAGCAGCAGCAGCCGCAGCAGCAGCAGCAGCAGCAGCAGCAGCAGCAGCAGCAGCAGCAGCAGCAGGGCTCACCCGAAGCAGCCGGTCTGCGCCTTTTCTGCTGCAGCAGAGGCGTGGAGGTTTTTCAAAACCTCTTTTGAGTGTTTTATTTCGCAAAGGGTTTTCGCCCGCGACAAAAAAGAAGACACAGAAAAGCGGGGGGCCGTGGGGGCCTGGACTACATACTGCAGACAGAAGCAAAACCCCAATTTCCTTTTCAATTAAATCCAAAACCCTTTATTTCTGGCTTTTAGCTGCTGCAGCAGCAGCAGCAGCAGCTGCTGCTGCTGCTGCTGCTGCTGTAGCTACATCTTGATTTTTTTCCGCTTTAATTTGAAGCCAAAATACTTTAATTCGAGCGGTTAGCAGCTGCTGCAGCTGCTGCTGCAGCTGCGGAAGCTGCAACAACAGCAGCTGCAGCAGCTGCAGCAGCTGCTGCAGTGGCTGCTGCAGCAGCTGCAGCAGCTGCTGCTGCAGCGGAGAGGAAGAATATAAAATGAATGGAAAATAAAGCAGCAAATCGAACAGGCAAAGAAGAAATATAAATGGAAAAAGAAATGGGCAACAAAAAAAGAAATACTTCAAATTAAAGAATTAAAAAAAACAATTCAAAGAAAGAAACATTTCAAAATAAATAAAAACCGAAATAAATAAACAACTCAGAAGAGGTCAACAATTGAAAAAAATAAGCAATTCAAAATAAAAAACAATTCCAAATAAAAGGCGAATTAAATAAAAAGAAGTTAAAAATAAAAAAATTCAAAATAAATGAAAATCAAAAAAAGCGAAAGAAAGAAACGGGACAAAAGAAAGGCATAAAAAAAACGCAATTAAACGAAACACTATAAACAAATAAATAAACAAATAAATGAACAAATAAATAAAATAGTCATTTAAATAAATAAATAAATTAATTAATTCATTAATTCATTAATCAATTGAGTAATTAATTAATTAACAAATTAATTAATTAATTAATTAATCCACTAACTAATCCACTAAATAAACACATAAGTGCAATAAATAAATAATTAAATTAATTAACAAAATAATTAAGTGAATAACTAAAGAAATAAACTAAAATAAATAAATAAATAAATAAATAAATAAATAAATAAAATAAATAAATAAATAAATAAATAAATAAATATAAATAGAAATAAATAATTAATTAATTAATTAAAATTCTTTCCTGATTAAAATGGAAATAATTTTCTGTCGCGTAAATTTGCATTTCGGGCGGCAGCGGAAATGGCAGAGTTTCATGAGGCTCCCAAGAAGCTGCAACATCCTGAAAATAAAATAAATAAAATGGAATAAATAAAATAAATAAAATAAAATAAAATAAATAAAATAAATAAAATAAAATGAATAAATTTAAATTAATTAAAATGAATTAATTAAAATAAATGGATTACGGTGAATTAAAATGAATAAAAATGGATAAAAATGGATTGAAATCGATTAAATTATTAATTAAAATGAATTAGTAATTAAAATGAATTAAAATGAATTAAACGGTTAATTAAAATGAATAAAAATGAATCAAATGATTAATTTAGATGAATAAAAATGAATTAAAATGAATTAAATGATTAATTTAGATGAATAAAAATGAATTAAAATGAATTAAATGATTAATTTAAATGAATAAAAATGAATAAAAATGAATCAAATGATTAATTTAAATGAATAAAAATGAATAAAAATGAATCAAATGATTAATTTAAATGAATTAAAATGAATTAAAATGAATTAAATGATTAATTAAATGAATTAAAATGAATTAAAATGAATTAAATGATTAATTAAATGAATTTATTGTTTTAAACTGATTCAGATTTGATGAAAAAGAACTGAAATGGAACAAAAATTAAATCAGAAATGAAGGAAATCGCAATTAAGTGAAATACTCAAAAAGAAGTTCAATTTGAAATTAACTAATTAATTAACCAATTTAATTTAATTTTATTTAATTTAAATTAAAATTAAATTAAATAAATATCAAATGAAATAAAATGAAATAAAATTTAAAATAAATAAAATTAAAACAAATAAAATAAAATAAAATGAAAGAGGAAATGAGTGAAATCAAAAGCCAATTAAAACAAACCAAATCAAACTAATGAAACAAAATAAATTAAATTAAATTAAATTGATTAATAATATTAAATTAAATTAATTACACTAATTAAATTAAATCAAACTAATTAAACTGATTAAACAAATTAAATTACTTAAATCTAATTAGATCAATTAAATCGAACTAATTAAATTAAGTAAATTAATTAAACTAATTAAATGAATTGAATAAAATTAATGACTAAATTAATTGAATCGAATAATTAATTAGGTTAAATAATTGAACTAAACTTAAATCAAATAAAATAAATAATTAAATCAATTAATTAAATTAAAAAATTAATTAAACAGAATAAACAATTGAATCAATTAAATAAAACAAATATTGAAATTAATTAAATTTATTAATTAAATTAAATAAAACAAATATTAAATCAATTCAATTGATTAAATTAAATAAAACAAATAATGAAATTAATTAAATTAGTTGATTAAATTATATAAGTAAATAATTAAATTAATTAAATTAATTAAATTAAATAGACAAATACATAAATTAATTAAATTAAATAAACAAATAATAAAATTAATTAAATTAATTAACTAAATTAAACAATTAATTAAATTAACTAATTAATTTAAATAAACAAATGATTAAATTAATTTAATTAATTTAATTAATTAAATAAATAATTAAATTAATTAAATTTAAAACCCACAGCTCTGCAGCCGTGGAAGTCTGCTGCTCCTCTGGCTTTCGTTTTTGTTTTTTTTTTTATTTTTTTTGCTTCTTCTTTTGCAAACTTTTTTATTTTTATTTCATCCATTTCCCGAGTCACAAACTCCCAACTCAACATCTGCTGCTGCTGCTGCTGCTGCTGCTGCTGCTGCTGCTGCTGCTGCTGCTGCTGCTGCTGCTGCTGCTGATTCTGCTGCTGCTGCTGCTGCTGCTGCTGCTGCTGCTGCTGCTGCTGCTGCTGCTGCTGCTGCTGCTGCTGTGTGCGTCTCTTGCTGCTGCTGCTGCTGCTGCTGCTGCTGCTTGCTGCTGCGCCCGCGGCTGCCTTCGTCGCTGTGGAGGAACTCATCCATCACGAAGTAGCTGCTGCTGCTGCTGCTGCTGCTGCTGCTGCTGCTGCTGCTGCTGCTGCTGCTCAAGTCCAAACTAAAAGTGACATCTTCTGGAAAGCAAGACAAGGGCGCTTCGTACTCCCACGCAGACGGCAGCTGTACGTACACCCCAGGGGCCCCTCCAGACTCGGGGGCCCCGGGGGCCCCCGGGGCCCCCGAGGGGGCCCCCTCGGGGGCCCCAGGGGCCCCTGAGGCCCCTGGGGCCCCTGAGGCTTCGGGGGCCCCTGGGGCTTGGGGGGCCCCCGGGGCCCCGGGGGCCCCGGGGGCCCCGGGGGCCCCCGGGGTTGGGGTGTGGGAGAGGGTTTGGGGTTTGGGGGTTTTGGGGTTAGGGTTTGGAAAGGGTTTGTGGTGGAGTTCCAAGTGGAGGGCCTGGGACTTGTAATGTTCTTTTAAACTCCTCGCAGCAACTCTTACCAGCGCTAGCTGCCGGCCTGAGCAGCAGCAGCAGCAGCAGCAGCAGCAGCAGCAGCGGCAGCAGCAGCAGCAGCGGCAGCAGCAGCAGCAGCGGAGGCGGCGGGAGTAGGGGCTTCCGTTGGGTTTGGGGTTTGGAGGTTGGCGGTTAGGGTTTAGGGTTTAGGGTTTAGGGTTTGGGGCTGGAAGATAGAAGATAAATAAATTAGAAAGCTTTTTTGGATTTCGGAAATAGAAAATAAATCAAATTGAAAAAAAGAAAATTCGAAAAAGAAATAAAACAGCAGCAGCACTTTCTGATTAAAGAAAATCAAATACATAAGCGGACAATTAAATAAATCAAAAACAAACAAATAAATAAAATAATCAAATAGAATAAATCAACTAAATAAATAAACAAATAAATAATCAAATAAATAAACAAATAAATAAATTAATAATAAATAAATAAACAAATAAATAAATAAATAAATAAATACATAAATAAACAAATAAACAAATAAACAAACAAACAAATAAATAAATAAATAAATAAATAAATAGCTTTTGGAGGCATTCCTTGGGTGTCTGCGGTGTACGTACACCTGGTGCATGCGCGGCAGGTGTACGTACACCTGAACTCACCGAGGCCGAGGTAGCTTTTGGCGAACAAAAGAAAATATTTATTTTGCAATTTGAGAAGTTTTAAATCTGAATGGCCTTTGACGGGCAGCAAGAAGTTGCTGCCCCCTTCAGTTTCGGGTGTACGTACACCCGAAACCTGCTGCTGCTGCTGCTGCTGCTGCTGCTGCTGCTGCTGCTGCTGCTGCTCCTCCGGCAGCAGCGACAGCGGCAGCTCGAAAACCACCTGCGCCGAAGCTCCCCCCATTTCAACCATTGCTGCTGTGCTTCTCTTCGTTGCTGCTGCTGCTCCCTCCCCGCTGCTGCTGCTGCTGCTGCTACTGCTCTCGCTGCTGCTGCTGCTGCTCTCGCTGCTGCTGCTACTGCTATCGCTGCTGCTGCTCTCGCCGCTGCTGCTGCTGCTCTCGCTGCCGCTGCCGCTGCCCTCGCCGCTGCTGCTGCTGCTCTCGCCGCTGCTGCTGCTGCTGCTGCTGCTGCTGCTGCTGCTGCTGCTGCTGCTAGTGACCATGAGGAGGTGGGGCTCGAGGGCCCCCAAGAGCTGGTTGAGGGCGAGCCAGCCGAGGGCCCCCTCTTCGTGGCCTGTCAGTACACCGCAGGAGGCCCCCGGGACGAACTTGAGACCCCACAAGTTCAGTTTGCTGCAGATTGCATGCAGCAGCAGCTGCTGCTGCTGCTGCTGCAGCGAACGCAGCCCCGCAGTGCCCCTGAAGAAAAGAAAAGTCTCCGCTCTTTCTGCTGCTGCTGGCACTGCAGCAAACACGAACTGCTGCAGCTGCTGTACGTACACCCCGAGCGAGCGGCTCTCTGCTGCGTCGCTGTGAAACTTCTCTCCACTTGTCGCCACTTCTTTCTTTTCTTCTTTTTCTTTTTCTTTTTCTTTTTCTTTTTCTTTTTCTTTTTCTTTTTCCAACTCCAGATCTTCTTCTTCAGAGTCTTCGAAGTTGTCCACAAAAGCCGTCACTCCGGGGCTTATTCGCTTCGTTGCTGCTGCTGGCAGCTCCACCTGCAGCGCGGGGGGCCCCGCGGGGTGTAGGTGTAGTTGTACACATAGACCCGAGTGCCGGTGCTGCCTGCATCAATTACTACTGCTTTCCTCCTTATAGGAGCAGCAGCAGCAGCAGCAGCAGCAGCAGCAGCAGCAGGAGCGAAGGGCCCCCGGAGGAGCGAAAACAGGAGAAAGAGGATGAGGGGCCCCCAGGTGCGGGCCATAGTTAAGGGGCCCCGGGGTGGCGCGTGGGTCAGCCGTGGGCAGCGGGGAGGCCGCGGGCGCAGCAGCAGAACATGTGTGCAGGAAGTTGCAAAAGGGGCGGAAGGAGCAGCAGCTGGAGCTTCTGCTGCAGATCTGAGGAATAAAAGAAGAAATAAATCGAGGAATACCTTTTGGAAGGGAAAGAGGCGGAGAAGAAAGCGCGAAAAGCCGCGGGCTTCAGCTGCGGTCAGGTCCGCGGGAACGAGGGAACAACTGCGAGAATCCGCGCGATCCTGGGAATTTTCGAAGTTCCCAAGACCAATTGGTCCCAGAAATGCAAAAAGATTCTCTAAATGCAGTTATTTCCTCCGTTTAGAAAGTGGATTTCAGTGACGGGGTGGTGGCGTTGGCCGCAGCATGCTCAGCTGTACGTACACCTCGCGGCGCGGCTGCGCCCGCGACTGCAGCCGCCGCATCTTCACTTTTTAAATTATATTTTATTTCATTTTTTCCGTTAAATTTGAAATTTAATTTCGAATTTAACCCCCGGAAAGCTCCGACAGCCTGCGGACTGCCGCCGCCCGCTGCCCGGACACCCCCCAGGGCGCCGAGTCCGCAGCGAAATGAGTAAATTTGGTCTTTGGGATTATTTCAAAAGAAAAGAATTTCTGAAAACTATTTAAAGTCTTTTAAATGACAAATTCAGCAGCTGCTGCTGCCGACTTCGCCGCAAGACACAGTTCATTAAGTTCAGCTTCGGAAGTTCTTAACAACGCACTTTGCAAAATGAGAAAACAGCAACAAGACACGAAGCAGCAGCAGCAAACGGCAGCAGCAGCAGCAGCAACGCTGCAGCATATCAGCAGCAACAAAGTTGAAAACTCCTTTTTTATCTTTCGGAAATTATCCTTTTTCCTTTTTCTGGACTTTTATTTATTTATCTTTTGCAACTTTTTTGCCTCACAAAACCATGAGGATAAAAGGAAACAAAAAGATAAATAAAACACTTATGAATTAATTGCATGCGCCTCCAGGCCTGCACTAAAATGTGCTATTTGTGTATTTTTAATTAATTAATTAATTAATTAATTAATTAATTAATTTGTTTATTTATTATTTATTTATTATTTGTAATCCTTTTGATGTTCTGGACTTCTAAATAGTCTTTTTGTTTATTTGAAAAGCTCCAAAAAAAAAAATGGAGAAAACATTCTTTTGATTGCAAATGAAGAAATGGAGTGTACGTACACCTGGGGAAGCTCAAAAGCCAAAAGCTCTTCCATTTCATTTAAATTTAAAAGTCTTCTATTTCATTTAAATTTAAAAATAAAACAGAGTTCAAATGAGAAACTTTCTTTTTAAACTGGAAATGAAATTCAAATGAGAAAGACAGTCTTCAGCCGCAGCAGCAGCAGCTGCTGCAGCAGCAGCAGCAGCTGCTGCTGCTGCTGCTGCTGCTTTGTAAGGGTAAATTATAAAAGAGGAAATGAACTCAATTTAAATGACTTATTTATTTACACAAATGCATCCCCGCAATCTGCGGTGTCTGTACACCTCAATTTCAAACAAACAAATGGAACTTCTTCCTTATTAATAAATACATACAAAAATTGTGGCAGCAGCAGCTGCAGCAGGAACAGCTGCTGCTGCTGAAGCAACAGCAGCACTGCTGCAACAGCTGCAGCAGCTGCAGCAACAACAGCAGCAACACGAAAAGCTGCAACGCCAACAACAGCTGCAGCAGCAACACCTGCAACGCCAGTAGCTGCAGCACCAACTGCTGCAGCAAGAGCTGCTGCAGCAGCAACAGCTGGCGCAACAACAGCTGCAGCACGAACGACAGCAGCTGCAGCAACAGCTGCAGCAGCAGCAGCAGCAGCTGCTGCTGCTGCTGCAGCAACAACGGCAGCAGCAAATTCCGTTGGAGAAGCACTGTAAATGAAAATGCAATTACTTTCCGTGCATGCATTTGCATAAAGTCTGTTTGCTGCTGCTAATTAGAAAACGAAGTCAAATGGTTTAATTAAATTCACAATTGAATATTTAATTTGCATTTAATTTGAATTACTTGTCTGTGGTGTACGTACACCCCAGCGCAGCCACCTGGCTCACGAGGTGTACGTACACCTCAGCGCAGCCACCTGGCTCGTTCGCGGTGTTTTCTTTTCGTTCATATTTATTTATTTTCGGCTTTTTTGGAATAAATAAATCAATTTTAAATTTAAATTTAATTAATAATGCAATTTATTCATTTGCAGACTTGGATCTGGTGAATTTGCTCTTCAACTTTGCCAGAAAAGACACTGGAAAGCTGCGGCTTTTTTTGACTTTTGCAGAATCTTCTTTGAAGTATAAATAGTCTTTTTCATTCCAATTATTATTTATTTTATTTTCTTTTGGTTTTAAATAAGTTGCTGCTTCTTTAAAAGCCATTCTTTCTTTGTTCATTTGCTGCTGCGGGTTCACCCAGGAGGCTGGGGGAGGCCCCGGGTTCGTTGCTGCTCGTGCTGCTGCTGCTGCTGCTGCTGCTGCTCCTGCTGCTGTCATGGCGCGAATTGCTGCTGCTGCTTCCGTCCCGCCCCAACGCCCGCCAGGCGCATAAGCTTCTTGTTTTGTATTTACTTTTGTTTCTTTTTTCTTTTCATCTTTTTTCTTTTCATCTTTTTTCTTTTCTTTTTTCTTTTTCTCAATATTTGCTGCTGCATGCAAATCCCCAGCTTCCCCATCTTCTGCAGCAGCCCCCTTCCGCCTCCCCCACCAGCTGCTCCTCCTCTTGGTTTCCTTGCTGCTGCCCCTGTTGCTGCTGCTGCTGCTGCTGCTGCTGCTGTCCCCGTTTGCTGCTGCTGCTGCTCTCCCCCGCGTCAGCAGCTTCTTAAAATCTGCTGAACCCTCCGGTACCCTCCCAAAGTAAGCTTCTGCAGTACTCATATGACGGGGGCCCCTGCTGCCTGCAGCAGGGGGCCCCCCTGGGGGCCCCCCCGGGGGCCCCCCTGGGGGCCCCCCTGGGGGCCCCCCCGGGGGCCCCCCTGGGGGGCCCCTGAGCCCTCCCGCTGCAGCTGCAGAGCTTGTAGTGTAGTAACGCAGGGGCCACAGCTGCTGCTGCTGGGGGCCCCCAGGCTGTGGGAAGCTGCTGCTCTTTCGAGCAGCAGCAGCAGCAGCAGCAGCAGCAGGCACTTGGTCAGGAAAAACGACTCCCCTTGCTTGGCGGGGCCTTGCTGCCACTTTCTTTGCTGCTGCTGCTGCTGCTGCTGCTGCTGCTGGAGGGGGGCCCCCCAAAGGCAAACATGCTGAGGGCCCCTTGAGAGTGCGCACTGAGAAGAGCTGCAGGGGCTTTCCCCTTTTGCTGCGGCGGCGTGCTGCTGCAGCAGCAGCTGCTGCTGGTGCTGCAGCAGCAGCTGCTGCTGAACTGCCTTTTGTTTTCTTTTCGTTGCTTGCCCTAGTTGTGTCTTTCTGGGGGAACGTATCCGCTGCTGCTGCTGCTGCTGCTGCTGCTGCTGCTGCTGCTGCTGCTGCCTCCTGCTCATCCGCTGCATGCGCGCTCCAAGCATCCTCAGGCGGCGCTTCAGCTTCTGCTGCTGCTGCAGACGCTGCTGCTGCGCGTGCTGCTGCTGCTGCTGCTGCACTCTCCGGTAGAAGTTCGCCGCCCTCAATAGCCTGCAGTGGCTGCCAAGGCGCTGCAGCAGCAGCAGCAACTGCTGCTGCTGCTGCTGCAGGGCTTAGGATGGGGGGCAGCGCTGCTGCAGCTTCTCCGTTGCAGCTGCGTAGTCGAGTAAGAGGTGTCCCTGCAGCAGCAGCAGCAGCAGCAGCAGCAGCAGCAACAGCAGCAGAAGCAAAGAGTAAGTATGCACGGCTAATACAGCAGCACGTGTGGGGCCACTGCAGCAGCAGCAATGTGGTTTTTTATTTTATTATTGCTGCTAGAAGACAGTTCCATATTAGCAGCAGCATTATATTGAAAATATAATAATTAAATAAACAAATAATGCAAAATATTATTTGTGGCTGAAGCAGCAAAGAGCAGCAGCAAACAGAAGCAGCAACATCTTTGCTGCAGCAGCTACAGAAAGACAAACCTTCAACAGCTCTGAAGCCCCCCTTCCTAGGGCCCAGGAAGCTGCTGCCGTTGCTGCTGCTGCTGCTGCTGCTGCTGCTGCTGCTGCTGCTGCTGCTAGCTGCTGCAGCCTGGACCACTTCGAACTTCCTTAGGAACTGCACTGACTGCGTGCTGCTGCTGCTGCTGCTGACGTGGGCGCAGACAGCAGCACAAGTTGCCACAAAGGGTACCATGAGGGGCCCCGGGGGCCCCTCGGGGGCCCCTGTGGGGGCCCCCCACTGCTGCGAGTTGCTTAGGGGGCCCCTGCTGCTGCTGCTGCTGCTGCTGCTGCTGCTGCTGCTCGAAGCACTCCGGGGGCCCCTCTCTGCTGCGCTGCCATAGTGGTCCCCCTGAAACAAACAGAAAGATGAAAGCGCTGCTAATTAAATAAATTTTGCTGCTGCTGCTGCTGCTGCTGCTGCTGCTGCTGCTGCTGCTGCTGCGAAATGCATGCAGCCCCGAAAAGTGAGAAAGTGGTTGCGGTGTATGTACAGCTCGCTTCTGCGCAGGCTTCCTCCTCGCAAACCAGAACTTCTATTATTTATTTTAATTATTTTCCCATTATTTATTTTTATTATTCCATTTTAAATTTTATTTTCCATTTTTGCATGCAGCTACTCGCCACTATGCACAAGTGCTGCACTTGAATTGCTGCATACACCCTGTGCCCTCATCGCCCCATCTCCCTGCTGCAGCAGATCTACCAGGCGAGCCTCTCGAAGCCCCACCTCTCCAGCAGCAAACTCCTTCACTGCACACAAAACTTGGGCCCTGGCGCTGTGGCTTTCAACCACAAGTCCCCCGCTGCTCCATCTCACGGACTGCGAGACCCTCAGGAAGCTTCCCTGCGGCTGCAGCAGCAGCTGGGGGGGCCCCCCGCCCCCTGGGGGCCCCCGTGGGGGCCCCCCCAGGGGGGCCCCCCCCTGGGGGGGGCCCCCCCCAGAGGGGCCCCCCCACGCACTTGCTGCGCCCCCCCAGCCACTTCGAGGGTCCAGGGGGGCCCCCAAGGGCCGCAGGGGGCCCCAGGGGGGCGCTATGGGGCCTGGGAAGGTCATGGGGCTGCGGAAAGCTGCAGCAGATGGGGTCTGTGCAGCATTATGCGAAATGGCGGAAGGAGGGGCTCAAAAAGGCACACATGAGCTCCAAAGTTCTTCTTTAATTCAACTTTTTACTTTTAATGTCAAATAAAAGAAATAAAAGCGAGAAAGCAGCAGAGGCGCAGCTGATCGCGGCGCGGAACCGATGCTGTCGGCGGCGGAGGCTGCTGCTGCTGCTGCTGCTGCTGCTGCTGCTGCTGCTGCGCTGTTTTGCCTTCAGCGCAGCTCCAAAGGTAGCTTTTGAGTTTTAAGAAAGTGAAAATATGCTTTTGAAAGAGTTTTAATGGAAAGAAAGAGTGAAAAGCCGCAGGAGGCGACGCGGGCTGAGCCGTTCCAGTGGGCTGGACACACGAGCGCGGTGTGCAGGCCGCGAAATGCGGCAAGGCGAGAAGATCCTCCGCGCCAATTGAATTAAATTGAAAGTCTAATAATTGAAAAGGAAAAAATAAATAAAAAAATTCAATTTAAAGGGAAGATCGCGTTGGCGAAGGTGCCGGGCCGGTGTCGGCGTTCGGCGCAGCGGCTGGTGCCTCGTGGCTGCTGGACACTGCAAGAAGGAGAACATCTTCAACTCATTCTTTTTGTTTAATTACCACTTTAAATCTTCAAAACTCATTCTTTTCGTTTAATTACCACTTTAAATCTTCAAAAAGAAGTTTTTTTGTGTTTAATAATTCCAATTTTCGAGCTTTCAGCCCCCACGCTTCAGGCGGGCTGCCGCAGCTGCGGAATCTTGCAAGTGTCGGCCTCCCGGCCGCTCCTCAGCGCAGCGTTTCTCATTCAAATTTAATTTCCTTTCTAAATATTTGAATTACAAATTAAAAAGCCTTTCGAAGCAGCAAATGCTTTCCGTCTTTGGCGCGGTTCGCCGCTGCGCAGCTGCGGACTCTGCCTGATTCTGCATGCCAGCGGCGGAGTGGCGGCGGCTGATCTGCGGCTTCCAGCGCTCCTTTTTCCCCCAAAAGCTCCCAAATTTCTTTTTTTACGAAGTTGAATTCGCGGGGAATGCAAAGAGCCGCGGATCTTCCATTTTGAGGGGAGTTTGGGGGCTCTCGAGCCGGCTCGAGAGCCCAGAAGGTCCCGCCGGCGAGAAAGCTGCAGCGAAAATGGCTTTTTTCGGAGTCAGCACGAACTTAATTAACTGCGGAACTCCAAGTCCAAGTCAAAATGCAGAAAGCTGCGAAATGAGTCCTTTCCAGGCCCTCCTGGTGGCCCGCGAAGTTCGCCTGCGAGGCGCTGCTGCAGCGCAGCGAAACTTCGCCCGCCTCCAGCTCGAGTACAGCAGCGCCTACGCAGCCTACCAGCAGCTCCAGGTCCGACAGCAGCAGCAGCAGCAGCAGCAGCAGCAGCAGCAGAAGCAGCAGCAGCAGCAGTAGCGGTAGTAGTAGTAGTAGTAGTAGTAGGTAGTACCGGCAGCAGCAGCGCCGTCACCAGGGATAGCGTCAGGAGCAGCAGCAGCAGCAGCAGCAGCAGCAGCAGCAGTAGCGGCAGCAGCAACAGCAGGCGCCCTTGTAGCTGCTGCTTCGTTGCGTGACCTTGGGCAGCAGCAGCAACTAGCGCTAGCGGAGCAGCAGCCGCACTTGCTTGCTTCGAGCTCTTGCTGCTGCTGCTGCTGCTGCTGCTGCTGCTGCTGCTGCTGCTGCTGCTGCTGCTGCTGCTGCTGCTCTGCAGCAGCAACTTTGGGTGGTTTGCTGCTGCGCAGGCCGATGTTGCTGCTAAGGCCGCAGCTGTGGACTCTTATTTCGAAGGCCAAGAAGCAGCAGCAAAAGAAGTTTGCGAAAAAGCTGCTGCAGCAAAAGTCCTGCAACTTAAGGAAGGCGGCAACGACTACACCCACCCCAAATACGCAGCTCTTGTGGCTGGTGAAGTTCTTTATTTATTTATTTATTTATTTATTTATTTATTTATTTATTTATTTATTTATTTATTTATTTATTTATTATATTCTTTTAGTTTGTTTTGTTTGTTTTGTTTCTTTTTGTTCGTTTTTGCGCCAGCTTTCCGCGCATGCATGCAGGGGCGTTCGAGTGTATGCATGCAAACTTAGACTAGCAGCAAATCTGCATGCAAATTTGCATGCAGATTTGCATGCAAATTTGCATGCAAATCTGCATGCAAAAGCACATATTTAATTCAAGTGTCTTAATTTGTATCTTTTCATTTGTAATTAAGATATTTAAATATATATGCCTTGCTTTTTTCTTATATATATATATATATATTTATATTTATGTATATATATATATATATGCATGCATATCTATGCATGCATTTATATGCATGCATTTATATGCATGCATATATATGCATTTATGTGCATGCATAGGCGTGCATGCATCTGTACATTTGCATGCATGCATATATTTGCATGCATATATACATTTATTCACATGCGTATGTTTGCCTGCATGTGTACAGTTATATGCATGCATACATATGCATGCATATGCACATTTATTTGCATGCATGCATGCATGCATTTGCATGCATATCTACTTATATTTGCATGCATATATCGCTTTATATGCATGCATGCATTTGCATTCATATCTACTTATATTCGCATGCATATATTTGCATGCATATGTAGCTTTATATGCATGCATGCATTTGCATGCATATATATTTATATTTGCATGCATATATAGCTTTATATGCATGCATGCATTTGCATGCATATATACTTAAATTTGCATGCATGTATTTGCATGCATTAATACATATAAGCAAAAGTGCATGCATGCGTTGGGGGGCAAGTCTCTTGTGTGTGTCATGAAGTGTTTCTCAGCGGTTTTCTGCGATAAATTGTTTTTTAAAAGCAATTATTTAATTATTTTGAATAAATATTTTCTTTTTGAAACTTTTTTCTCTCAGGTCTCAGCTCAGACCGCCGGAAAGCTGTAGATGAGCTGTTGGTTCCTTACTTGACTTTCTTGAACGAACTGACAAGTGCAGAAGACGCGCTTTGGGCGAAACACGGGGCTCTTCAGGCTGCCCAAGTGGGAGTTTGGCATTTATTTTTTAAATTAATTATTTATTTTTGTTTTTTAATGATTAATAAAACAAATAAATCCATTTAAACACTTCTTTGCATCCTGGACTTGCATGCAGCTGAACTCTTTGCCTATTTGCTGCTGCATTTGCTTTTTTCTGTTTGAATTTGCTGCTTGTTTTGAGTCTATTTTGTTTGCTTTTTTGATTCTTTCTGTCTCTTGTTCACTTTTATTGATTCTTTTCTTTTTAGTTTTGATGCGTTTGCTGCTGCTGCATCTTCTTGCTGCATTATTTGAACTTGATGAGTAAATATGGAGCATTTAGAGGGTGTTGCAGCATTTGGCACGCAGATTGCTGCTGCTTTTGCTGCTGTTGCTGCTGCTGCTGCTGCTGCTGCTGCTGTTGAAGCTGCTGCTATTGCTGCTGCGGGTGCTGCTGGTGCACTGCGCAAACGATGCTGGCGACACCTTTGGTATGCACTAATTTTGCTGCTGCTGCTGCTGCTGCTGCTGCTGCTTCTGCTGCTGCTGCTGCTGCTGTGTTCAGGAAGTTTACAAGTTGTGGGGTGTGGAGCTGCAGGCTGCCGACTGGCAGCTGCAGTCGATGCCTGCAGAGCCGCAGCTTTCTTCAGAAAAAGTGGGTTTTAATTTGGATTTAATTTGCATTTAACATTTCATTTATTTATAATTATTAATATTTTATTATTAATATTAATATTATTGGTATTTATTATTAATTAATTTGTTTTATTTGCTGCTCTTCTTTGCCCCTCTAGGTCAACTCAGTGCTGCTTGAAATACAGTCAAATGCGCAAACTTGCCCGCAGCAAAGTCTCATATATATATTTATATATTTATTTATTTATATATTTATATTTATTTATTTATTTATTTATTTGTTTGTTTATTGCCATTTTTAAATATAAAGTACAGAAAAAGGAAAATATGTTTCATTGTTGATTTAATTTTCAATTTTGGAAATGGAAAAAGCTCTGTTTGTGCATGCAGAGTTTGGCAGAAATTCGCTACTTGGCGCAGCGCGTGGCGGAAATTCGAAAAAAGAAAATCTTAAAAAGAAAAAAAGAAAAAACTGTTGTGAGACATTTAGTGGAAGAGACACAAGTCCAAGACAGCAGCAACGAGCCGCAGGCCACGCAGGTAATGCAAATTTGTAAACTCTACAGTTTTAGTCCAAATACAGCAGCAGCAGCAGCAGCAGATGTAGCAGCAGCAGCAGCAGCAGATGTAGCAGTAGCAGCAGCAGCAGCAGATGTAGCAGCAGCAGCAGCAGCAGAAGTAGCAGCAGCAGCAGCAGCAGCAGCAGAAGTAGCAGCAGCAGCAGCAGCAGCAGATGTAGCAGCAGCAGCAGCAGCAGATGTAGCAGCAGCAGCAGCAGCAGAAGTAGCAGCAGAAGCAGCAGTAACAACGACAAGAGCAGCAACAGCAGCAGCAGCAGTAGCAGCAGCAGTAGCAGCAGCAACAGGAGCTGCAGCAACAGCAGCAAAAATAGTGGCACCTGCTGCAGCAATTCTAGTTTATAAATGCCTATTTAATTTATAATTGCACATTTAACTTATAAATGCATATTTAATTTGTAATTGCACATTCAATTCATAAATGCACATTTGGTTTAAACTGCAAATGACACAAACGCGTGTGGAGTACTTTTGTTCCTTTTAAAATAGAATTAAATGATTGATAAATGAAAATAAAAGTTTTCGAATTAAATGATTGATGAATAAAAATAAAAGTTTTCGAATTAAATGATTTATGAATAAAAATAAAGTTTTCCAAAAGTAATAAAGTGCGAAGTTTTCATTTAGATTCTGCAGACACTCGAGAATTATTGTAGTTGAACAAACACTGCATGCATGCAAGAAATGACAGCAGTTGACAAGTAAATAATACTAAATAATAATAAACAATAATAAATAATAATAAATAGTAATAAATAATATTAGATAATAAATAAATAATAATAACAATAATAGTAATAATAATAAATAACAAATAATTATAACAATTCTAATAATTATAACTATAATGATTAAAATAAAATGTCTTCGGTGAATTGTGTTATAATAATAAATAATAAATAATTATTATAATACTTATAATTATAATAATTATAATAATTAAAATGTCTTCGGCAAATTGTTTCCTTTTTTTGTTCAGCGCTCTTCACAAGCTTCTGCTCCGTGTTTGGCATCTTTTGCGATTTGCAACACAAAAGAAACCAAAAAGAAAAAAGAAAAAAAACCCGACTTCGACGCCAGCAGTTGGCTTTAACAGCTCCTAAACCCTAAACCCTAAACCCTAAACCCTAAGCCCTAGCGCTGAAACTCGCAACAAGCGCGTTGCGTAGACCCTGAAATGGCTAAGCCCTCCCGAAAACCCTTGAAAACCCCAAACCCTAAACCCTAGGGAACCCCAAACCCTAAACCCTGGGGCTTCGGGCTTGAGGCAATAACCAAAACCCTCCCTAAGTGCGACGAAAGATAAACGGAAAGTTGCAAGGAATGAGTTGCACAGTTCATTTATTTTCTTTGTACAGATCCAAACATTTTATTTGGAAATAATTCATTTATTTATTCAGACTTTTGCAACGCATTTTATCTTGAAATGTTCCTCCCGCTGTGCTCTTCCATTGCAAGTGGCATTAGACACATCCCACACATCTGTGTTTCCAAATAAAAAAGAACAATAATATATCCACAGCATTGTACTATTCTTGTTGTACATATATAGTTCCTATTTGGAGGGAAAACTATGCAATAAATTGGCTGAAGAAGCAGAAAACTAAAAGCGATCTGTACAACTGTGTCAGTCATGCAGGAGTTTCTGCACCTCTGCATGCGCAGTTTCTGTGCCTCTCTTTCTAAGTTTTTCCGCCACATCTATGAGAAAATTTACAATAAAAAATATTATCGAAGAGTTTTCAGAAACTCAACAAGTCGGGGAAGCCCCAAACTGCACCATTCAACTTGGCGGCGCATGCAGCTTCGCCTTCTATACATAGCTCGTTCGCCGCAGAACTTGTGGACTTGGCAGCAAAAGGCGAAGGAAATTTCGAGAAAATAAATAAAATAAAATAATGACAGAAAGGTGTTTCCAAATCCGCATCACTTTGGCGTTGTTCCTTCAGACCAAAAGGCTGCCCCAGTTGCTCCGAGACGAAAAGGGTTTCCCCCGCTGTCATAAATCCAAAGAACACTTTTATTACAAGATATAACTATTTATAAACATTTAATAAACCTATCAATAAACATCATTTGCCACTTCGCCAGCATTTGACGCTGCAGCAGAGGCGCACTGAAAGCTGCCTCGCGGAAACCCGAGTCCAGGAAGCAAACCCAGCACTAGTTCATGCCATCTGCTTCCTGCTGCTGCTGCTGCTGCTGCTGCTGCTGCTGCTGCTGCGGGCCCTCTTCCAGTGCAGTGTAGAACCTCGCAACTGCCTCGAGCACCTGCGGCTGCGTCTTCTGCAGCGCCTGCAAACCCGCTTTTAGGGTTTGGCTGACATAGGCAGAAGCTTCTGCTGCTGCTTCGCGCAGCTGCTGCTGCCCCACAGCCACTTTGCCCTTCAGCAGCGCAGCAGCTTGCTGCAGCTCTTCCGCCGTGGGCTGCAGCGCCGTCTTGAGTTGGCTGGCGAACTTCTCAACTGCAGCTTTCACCTGCTCAGCAGTCATCTTCTTGCCTGCGGGCGTTGCTGCTGCTGCTGCTGCTGGGTCTGCTGCTGCTGCTGCTGCTGCTGCTGCCTGCTGCAACGACGCCAGCGCCTCCCCCGGCAGGCCCAGAGAAGCTGCCAACTCCTCGAGGCCCTGGGGCCCCTTCTGCTCCACAAAAGCCAGCAGCCGCTCCAGAGCTGCTGCAGGGGAAGGGGCCCCCTCGCGGGGGCCCCCCAGTTCGGACTGGAGGCCCTTTAGTGCCTCTTTTGCTATGTCTTGAACTCCTTGAAACTCCTCCTCCAGGATCTTCTGGAGGCCCTGGGGGATCTCGGGGCCCTCGAGCTTCGCCCCCAGTCCCAGCAGCTCGCGCAGCGCCTGCTTCCCCAGATCCCCCTGCTGCTGCTGCTGCTGCTGCTGCTGCTGCTGCTCCCTGCCTTCCTCGTCAAACCGTGCTGCAGCAGCAGCTTCTGCTTCCACAAGTCCTTCGAAAAGCCTCCCCAACTCCCAGTCCGGCTCTTCTTCCTCAGAGGACTCCCCCTCCCGCACAACTCTCCTGCGGCGGCCCTTCTTAGCCCCCCTCCTCAAGTTGATGCTGCTGCTGCTGCTGCTGCTGGTCCTCTTGCGTCTGCTGCTTGCTGCCAGCCGCCGCGCCCCCTTGAAGTCCACTTCGTCAAAGAGGGTCCCAAAAAGAGGCTCCTCTTCTTCTTCATCTCCGCTGCTTCCCAAGTCCTCCACGGGCCGCTCATCTCCCCCCGCGTCAGCAAAAGTGGAGGAGCTGTCAGTCACCCCCCTGCTGCCCTCACCACTCCCTGCTGCTGCTGCTTCTGCTGCTGCTTCTGCTGCTGCTGCTGCCTCGGAAGATGAGCTGGAGCTCTCGCCGGAGGAGCCAGACTCGCCTTCTTCCTGGCCCTCTTCAGCCTTTCCCTCCTCGCCCTCTGGGGCCCCCTCTGGGGCCCCCGCAGGGGCCCCTGCAGGGGCCCCCGCTGAGGCTTCTGCGGGGGTAATGAGGGCAGGTGGGGGCCCCGACTGGTCCACTCTACCCTCGGGGATATCTTCCCCAAAGGGCGGTGAACGGCCCCAGGCAAAAGGGTCAGAAACCAGAGGCCTCGGGGCGCTGGAGTCCTCCCTTGAGGCTGCAGCCTCACCTTCAGAGGCCGCCACTTCCTCCGCAGAACTCGAAGATGCCTCTCGTCTTCGAAGAAAACCAGCAGCAGAGTCAGCAGCAGGCTCTTTCTCTGCTGCAGCTGCTGCAGCAGCTGCTGCTGCAGTGTAGGCGTGCGCGAGCAGCACACCACAGACGACGAACTTGAGTTGCCGAGACAGCCGGACCATCTTCGGCGGAAGCACAAAAAAACGCGGGTGATCTGCTGTAAAAAGAATATAAAAAGAATTTGAATTCAATTCGCAAAGTTGCAAACGAATGAAAACAGAATATAAGATCTGAATGATGATCGGCTGATCGCTGCTGCTCTCGATGCTCGTGGAGCGATGCCCGGCGCGCGGCGCTTTGGGGAGGGGCTTTCTAAGAGGCGCTGCTGCTGCTTTTGCTTGTTTGGGCGAGTTTAACTGGACTATTTTCCGGAATTAAAAGCATTTTATCAAAAGTATCTCACTTTAAACTTCAACTCCGTTTATATGGCATCTTTGGGGTCACTTAGTCAGGCCAGGACCACTGGCACAGGCAGAACGACCCCGTGCCAGCAAGCATTCGACACGTTCGCGGGCAAGACAGGATGTTTAATGTTTCTAATTTAGATTTCTAGAGTATTCCAACAATTATAAACAATTATAAATAAGATTTAGCGTTTATTGTTGAGGGTAGGTCTCAGGTGCAGTTTTGGCAGGCAGGAGTGGGAGCCACTCGGGCATACCAGGATTGCACGATGCTGGTTGGATGGTGCTTTCTTCAACAGTTCGCGGGTCTCATTCTTTTTAAAGTTCATTCTCTCTTTTTAAATCCCAATTAATATAATTAATTGTGTCTAAGAAGGAAATTCGGACACAAAGCGTGGGACAAGAAGCAGGCAAGGGAGGGTGTTGAACTCTCATCCGGAGCTTCATTCGAGAAAGCATTTTCTTTACAAATGCTCCAGATACGGAACTACCGCTGAATAAAAGATAATCTGTTTTAAATAGGGGGCACAATGCATTTCATAATGGACTTAGTTGGCGAGGAAAACCCATTACTTGGCTTTCAGACTTTCACACTAACAAGTCAGTCTTCACAAATTGCTAGATTAGATTGTTTGACCCACTAAGTAAATGTGGGATCCCAGAAATCTGCTTTCAATTAGTTTTGCTTCACCGTCAAAACCCTGGTGAAGCTGCTGCGGTTGCAGCAGGCAGAAGTGCTTGGGGGCACACAAAGGACTGCAGTTTACTTTTTCCTGAAAGAGTTAGAGATCTTGTTCATGAAAACTAACCCTGGAAAGTCAAAATATAATTTTTAGAGCGAATTTAATTGATATTGGCATTTCAGACTGCAGCAAATGCACCACCTAAGGAGCTTTATGATGCTGAGAAGTACCGCTTTAAGACAAAGCCTGGAGCCAAAAATGTTAAACCCTTAACACTAAAAGCTAAACGCCAAACCAGAAGTGCTAAACCCTTGAAATTATGTTTCAATAGCTGCTCCGGCATCTGCGTACTCCTCACACGGCTCACAGTTCAGTCATTCCTTTATAAATGTGGCCGGTGTCCTTAAAGCAAGTTCTTCAAAGTCTTGATTGCAAAGACTGCTTGTTACAACGAAGCAGCCTTGCTGTGATTTCACTTTTGTGTTTAGGGTTTAGGGTTTGGGGCCAGGGTTTAGGGTCTGAAGATTGCGAAAGCCCAGCAACAGGCCATCAGTGCCGCCTACAGCCCTTGGGGTTAGCTGCGGTACTGTATTGGCGAGCTATGACTTCTAAACTGATCAGTTTGGATTATTCGTAAGTACTCTTTGTGAAACAATCTGTTGAAACATTCAAATCATAAATTCACTCCCCGGATTAACCAGCTTCAGGACTGATAGGAGTAAAGGCCTGAGAAGCGGCCGTTTATTTCAGGGTTGCGTAAAAGCTTTAGAGGATCACTAGAAGAGAATAAAGACAAGAAATACAAGAAAAGAAAATAAAAATTAGAAAGACTGTCAAGCTGTGATTCGCTAGTCTATCCAGCTGCAATGGACATGAACATCCCGAAACACCCATGCAAATAACAAGGAAGTGTTGAAATGATGATTACAGCTACTGCTTTATTGTTGAACATGAGACAATATTTGCATTAAAACTAAAAAAGATGCAAAAATTAGACAATTCCATTTATAATGCGCAAAGGACAGAAGGGGTTCCCAGGCGTTGGCAGGGTGTGGCACAAGACAAGCAGGGCCTTGTCTGCAAATCCAAATATCAAATGCAGAATAAAACAACAAACTAAATACATGAATTGTTAAATAAATGACAAAAAGCTGGGCATGTTCATGAGAAAACTGGGGATAGCCAGACTCTCCTTCTCCTGTTCTTCCATTTGTTCTGCATCCTAGCCATCTTATTTCTGCACAATTTGCATGCGCGCTTTCGCAGCTGCTCCAGCAAAAGTATATGTGCAAAAATATTTGGTTGAGAGTGTGATTAAAGAACAGCAGTTTTGCATGCAGAAGGCAAGTAGAATAAGGCTAGATCAGAAAGCCTACAGGCTGGGTGTTGGGTGTTAAGATGCAAGATTTGTTACGGAGCTTATGCCCATTTAAGTTGCTGCATTCTCTCTCACAATATACTTTTTCTTCTTTTTAAGTCGCTGCATTCTCTCTCATAAAATACTTTTTCTTTTTGAATTTGCACTGCTGCATGCGGCTTTCTGTCGCTGTCTACGGCCATTCCCGGCGAACTCCGCGGCTGCTCAGCAGCAAAGGAATTGCTCATTCAAGAAATGCCACTCTAGGAAACAGGGGCAGCAAAGAAGAGAGACTTATAAAGAAATAATGTGGCAGTCTAAATGGAGAGGGGCTTCAGGAATATGTTTGTCTCAATTAGAATGTCTTTTAAGAAGAGTTAAGTGCAGCATCGATTGCAAGCCCGTCTATTCCCAGCAGCAGAATGCAGAAGCAGCCCTGAACCACTAAAGAAAGAACCGGCAACGTGACCACTGGTCACATGAATGGGCACCAAGAAGCAAAAAGAATGGACGCCTCTAGAGGCGGCAAAGAAGGCAATACTCCTAAAAGAATATTCCTTAGCCGCTGCTCTGTAGCCTTTTTATCACTGAGACCACTGGACCACTGACTGTTCCTGCAGCCCGCCTCTTGCAGGCAGAAGCGAGCCAAGATAAAAGCAAAAATCAAAAGTCGGCGTTATTTGAAAAGCCTGGCAGCAGCGCCGCAAGCGCAGCAGCAGCAAGCTGCAGCGCGCAGCAGCACCAAGCTGCAGCGCGCAGCAGCACCAAGCTGCAGCACGCAGCAGCAGCAGCAAGCTGCAGCACGCAGCAGCAGCAGCAAGCTGCAGCGCGCAACAGCAGCAAGCTGCAGCGCGCAGCAGCAGCAAGCTGCAGCAAGCAGCAGCAGCAAGCAGCAGCAAGCAGCAGCAGCAAGATGCAGCAAGCAGCAGCAGCAAGCTGCAGCGCGCAGCGTCAACGAGAACAGGCGAAAGGGTACTTTGTAGCTTTTTAAAGAATGCATTTCGAGGCTGGCTGGGCCCCCAAAAGCTGCTGAGAAAGCCTCCAGCTTTCTGAGCCACTTTAGCTTCCCAGTCTTAGTTCAAGCACTTCACTTTTGGCCAGAAAGCTCTCCCTGTATTTCCATTTTGCCTTTTTCCTTCGCCAGCAGCAGCTCTCTGGGCCTGCTGCTGCTGCCAGAGACAAACACGCAAAATCTGCGGGCCAAAAAGCCCTTAAAAAGCCCTTTCGCGGCAACGCATGCAGCGGGGCTTTTGAATTGGCAGAAAGCCCCAAACTGGGGCCTCCGCTGAAGCTTGCTGCTCCCATTTTCACTCAAAAAGACAAAAAAAATGTGCTGGCGGGCACACTGGACCACGCCGGGGAGTAAATTTGAAAAATAATAAAGTCTGGACGAGAAAAACAAAGTCAAAAACGCAAAATTCAGAAAAATCAAAGAAGCCCCTTTGCCCAAGCTTAAGCCACGCTGCTGCGCCTCCCGCTGCACTGGCTCGGGGCCTGTCCTTTTTCTTTTGCTGCTGTGGGGCTTCAGGTCTGGACTGGCAGTTGACCAGTGGTCCACACCGGAGCTTGCTGCTGCTGCACTGCTTGCAGCAGCAACCTTAGAGGCCAGGTGACTCTCGCCATCGGTGGGTATAAATGCCTTTGGGGCAGTAAATGCAGCTCAGGGGATACGCGGGGCGCCCAGAAGGATTATTGGAAAGGGAAGTAAGCTTCTTTTCTGTTTCTGGCGGGCCAGCAGCTGCTGCAGCAGCTGCTGCTGCTGCTGCTGCTGCTGGCGTCGCTGCAGCAGCTGCAGCAGACACAGGGTGTGGGTCAGATGGCCGCGCTTCCGCTGCAGTTCTCGCTCTTGTCTTTTTCTGTCCCTTTGGCACTGAAGAATCCAATTTCTGAGTTAGAGCAACAACGCGGGAATTGAGAGGCGGGAGAGCCGAACGAAGCACCCCCCAGTTGAAGAAGCTGGCCGAGTTGCGCACGGCAATGCCTTCGATGCTGCCGCCCAGCATTGCCTTTTTCTCTTTTACTGCAGTCATTTTCGCAAATAAAAGAAAATAAACCCTTAAAATCGAAGAATTAATAAAAAGATCTCGACTTTTCGCGCCCAATGAGGGCTGCAACACATCCCGCCACTGAAGACTCAGCGGCGCCAGCAGCATCTGACCACTGGACCTCGTCCATGAAGACCCCCCCTAGAACACATGTTTAAATGACTTCTCGCAATTAATTTTTGATTTTTTTTCTAAAATTTAATATTATTTAAAGTATTTATTGCGTTTCGGGGCTCGGATGCCCCTCCTGGAGACGCCGCTGCCTCCCCGTTATGTGTCGCATTCACACATTCATACACCCTATGAAGAAGCCAGATACAACGCAGGCATTTCAGCCTGCAAATCGAGCTGAAGAGCTCTAGTAAAGCATAATTAGGTATAGTTGAGCCTTTTTATGCGGTGTGCTGCTGCTGTTGCTGCTGCAGCTGCAGCTTTTGCGGGCTCTAGAGAGGCTCTGTGAGGTATAAATAAGCCTGGGTGTAAGGAATGCTGCTGTTGCTGCTGCTGCTGCTGCTTCCGCATCGCCTGCAGCGTTTGCTTCCGTTGCTGCTGATTCTCGCTGCTGCTCTGCTGCTGCCTTAATGCCCTTTCCGTGGGATGCCCTTAAGCGACGCTGCTGCTCGTTTCGGGCGCAATCCAGTGTACATACTGGGGAAATGCAGCTGCCTCGGAAAAATTTACTTTTATTTATGTCATTGTTGAGGGCCCATTAGGGGCCCCTGAAGGGCCCTTTAAAAGCCCTTTAAGAGGCCCTTCGAAGGGTCTCTTTAAGGGCCCCATAAGAGTCCAAACATGGACAAATGAAGTTCCAGTTTGCAGAGTTTCTCTCCTACACATGTTTTGCCCTTGGAGTGTATGAACAGCTGCTGCCTTATGAACAGGCGCAGCCCAATAAGTGTAGATAGAAGGATTTCTTTCTCGCTATTGTTGTCTATATCATAAATATATATACATATATGCGTAAATACATATATCCTTAAGTATACACATGCGGATATACGGAAGTATATATAATATATATTATATATGTTTATATATCTTTTATATGTATTATATATGTATAAATATATAATATATATATATATATATGTATACGGAAGTATATATATATTATATATGTGTATATATCTCATATATTATATATATATATGTATACATATATAATATATATATACATTTGTATATATGCGCATATACGAATGTGCAGAGTGCTGTAAATAGCTGCAGCAGTACAAATTTACTCGGAGCTGCATCTGTGCAGTTAAGACAGCCAGAGGCGCTCAAGTTGGGGCTGGGGGTGCAGTCTCAGACTTCTGTAGATCCTTTTTGATTTTTCTGGATTCAAAAAATACTATTTGAGGCTTTTTGTCTAAGTAAGATTGCCCAGAGCACTGCAGGCCACTTTAATAAAAGAAAACGCGCCAAAGCACTTGCACTTGTTGACACGAAGCACAGCCGGGGGCCCCTTGGCTTCTATCTGTAAACCTCTGAGGGCCCCGCAGCCACCCCGGGGCCCCTGCTGCTGCAGCAGCAGGGGCCCCCAGGTGGCAGCAAACCCCAAAGCGCCATAAGTCTGAACTTCAGGGGCCCCATGCGCAGCACCATGAAGGCGTGGGGCATTTTGGGGCTGCTGGGGCGGCTCCGGGGGCCCCGGGGGGCCCCGGGGCCCCCCACGGCCCCTCAGCGCTGCTGAGGCTCGCTTTGCTGCTGCTGCTGCTGCTGCTGCTGCTGCTGCTGCTGCGGGAACCCGTGTCTGTGCTGCTGCTGCGCATGCAAACGCACAAGACGGGCCTCCGCGCTGAGGGCCTCCTCGCGGGCCTTCTTGGACTCCCGCCAGTGCAGCGTCGGCAGCCACAGAGTGTCCAGCAGCCGCTGCGAGGCCAAGCAGAAGCGCCGCCGCTGCTGCCGGAACTCTGAGAAAACCCAAACAAACGGGGGCCCCCAACCAGCTCCAGCCTCTGGGCCCTCAGCCCAGGGCCCCCTCTTACCCTTAAGTCAAGCTGCTGCAGCCGCAGCAGCGGGAGTGCTGTGCTGGAAAGCCAGCAAAAGCCCCACTGGGCCTTCTTGGGGGCCCCCGGGGACTGCGAGGGGGCCCCTGTGGGGCCCCCCGGGGGTGCGCGGGGGCCCCTGTGGGGCCCCCAGCAGACCCTGCGAGGCCCCGTGGGGCCCCTGCGGCCCACTGAGGCCCCTGTGGGGCCCCCGGGGGCCCCTGTGGGGCCCCCGGGGGTGTGTCAGCTGCTGAAGTGGCTAGGAATGGAAGTGAGTGCGCGGGCGACTTGGGCTAGTGCTGTCTCACGGATTGTCTTTCGAAGACAGGCCAAGAAGTGGTCTTGGCGGGCCTTGATGGCGGCCTCTGCGGCCTGCAAAGCCCCAAAGTCGAAGCTTTGCATGCGCTGGGAAACAGCAGCCCCCAACTTGGCCCACAGGCGCGCAGCAGAAAGGCGGGGGGGGAGGCCCCGGGGGTTGGGGCGGCGGCCAGGGGCTGCTGCTGCTTCGGGGTTTCGGTAAAGCATTCTGGTGCCTCTGAAGAAAATGTTTTTTATTTGGAGGGCCTCGGACTTGGGGGCCCCCCGGGCCCCAGGGTCCAGCAGCCCGGGCACTTCGGAGGCCTCCAGCCACAGACGGGGGCCCTTCCCGGGGCCCCCAATCAGCTCGTCCATCTTTTCTGCTGCTTGCTGCTTCGTCAGCACTGCTGCACTCGCAGCAGCAAACGCAGCAGCAGCACAGACAACTCAGCAAGGCAGTGCGGGGGGCCCCCAAGGGCTTCTTGGGGCCCCTCCCGCCTTCATTGTGCACCCAACGGGGCCCCTACAGCTACCAAGGGCTTGTAGAAGCCCCAAACTGTTTTAAACTGGACCCCAAGGGGGCCCCAAGGGGGCCTCAAGGGGGCCCCAAGGCCCCCTTGAGGTCCCCTTGAGGCCCCCGTGGGGCCCCTTGGGGCCCCCTCGAGGCCCCGTAGGGGCCCCCTTGGGGCCCCCTGAGGCCCCTAGGGGCCCCCTTGGGGCCCCTACGGGCCCCCTTGGGGCCCCCTGAGGCCCCTTGGGGCCCCCTTGGGGCCCCCTTGGGGCCCCCTTGGGGCGTAGGAAGCGGCTTTTTGGGGGCGCGGCGCTGGGTCTCACGGGCTTGGCCGCCGCCGGTGAAGAACTGCCACAGAACGTCGAGAACTGCGGGGTGGAGGCCCTGTTGGTTGAGTTCTGCGGAGACGCGGCGGCGGGCCTCCCGCAGGGTCACCTGGGGCCCCGGCAGGGGCTCGGGGGGCAGCAGCGCCCTCGCGGCTTCGCCGGCGGCCAAGTGCGGCGGGGCCCTCCGGCTGTAGGCCCACAGAAACGCCGTCCGCCGCCGCATCGCCTTGCTCTGACGCGCACCAGCAGCAGCAGCAGCAGCAGCAGCAGCAGCAGCAGCAGCAGCAGCAGCAGCATAACAGCAGCAGCACAGCAGCAGCAGCATAGCAGCAGCGGAGTAGCAGCGGTAGCATAGCAGCAGCACGGCAGCAGCAGCAGCACAGCAGCAGCAGCAGCAGCACAGCAGCAGCAGCAGCAGCACAGCAGCAGCACAAAGGCAGCTTGAAGAGACCTAGATGGGGGGGAAACAAGAAGCAAACTGGCGAAACTAACACGCCCCTAGCGCAGGTAGCAGCCAGTTAAAATGCGACAGGGCCAGAGAAAGAAAAATAGAAAAGCAATTAATGAATTCAACTTTTTTAAATGAAAAAATAAGAACAGAAATCGCCAATTGGCCCCACCTGCCGTTTCTTGGATCCTGGCTCCTCTTCAACAAGCGGCAGGCCATGTACTGCTGCCCACGCTGAACGCAAAGACGGCCCCGCAGCAGCAGCAGCAGCAGCAGTAGCAGCAGCAGCAGTAGCAGCAGCAGCAGTAGCAGCAGCAGCAGCAGCAGCAGCAAGTCGTAAATAGACACCGATGCAGCTAGCCCAGCTTGGCTAGCTGCTGGGGCCTCCCACCTTGTGGGGATGCTCAGGTTCCGCTAGGTGCCACAAGGGGGCCCCTCAAGAAACGGTATGAGGGGAAGAAACGGCAGCAGCAGCAGCAGCAGCAGCAGCAGCAGCAGCAGCAGCGAATCCTCTACTCTCGTTGCTGTTGCTGCTGCTGCTGCTGCTGCTGTTGTGGGCCCCCACTACCCACCTTTGCAGAGTTTCAAGTCGAGGCCCTTAAAGGGGCAGGAAGGCTCAGCGGGCCCCCCTGTCCCGTCGGGCTCCACTTCACCTGCAGTAGTTGCTGCAGGCTCCTGGGGGGCCCCCTGGGGGGCCCCCTGGGGGGCCCCCTGGGGGGCCCCCTGGGGGGCCTCCTTGGGGGCCCCCTGGGGGCCCCCAGAGGGGTCTGGAGGAGCTAGAGGGTCCTTTTCAAGTGGGAGGACAAAGCGCCATTCATAGTCAAGTCTTATGCGAAATTGGTCTTCTGTTATTCCAGGGGCGCTGAGGAAAAGTGGGAAATAAAAAGAAGACAAAAACAAATAAAAAGGAACAAAAGGGTAAAAAAGATAAATAAATATAAAAATAAAAGAGAATAGAAGGCAGACAATTGCTGCAACACATGCCCACCCTCCTCAGCGCCCCCTAGCAGCGGCTTAGGGGCCCCAGGGGCCCCCCGGGGGCCCCAAGGGCCCCCAGGACCCCGTACGGGCCCCAAGAAGACAACAGGGGCCCCCGCGTGCCACTGGGGGCCCCCTTGCCAAGGCCTTGGGGCCCTTCTTTACAAAAGGGACCCTTCTTAGCCCCAGAAGTTGGCGGGTTTCCACAAAAGCTGCCAAACGCAGGGAAGGCGGGGGCCCCCAAGGGGACCCCAGGGGCCCCCAGGGACCCCCAGGGGCCCCCAGGGGCCCCCAGGGGGCCCCCAGGGGCCCCCAGGGGGCCCCCAGGGGCCCCCAGAGGGCCTCTGGGGGCCTCCAGGGGGCCCCCAGGGGGAAGACCCAAATGGAGAAGCCAAAGAGAAATAAAGAAAGCAACTGAGGGAGAATATACGGACTTGGGGAGAAAGCGAGGAGGAAAGGGAGAAGAAAGAAATGAAAAGAAATAAAAATGTTTTCTCAAGAAATTGAAAATGTTTTCTCACCGAGTAAAACCCTTAAATAAACGATCTAAGAAAATGCGGCGAGAAGGAGGCAAAGAGGCGTGCGGGGCAAAAGGGTCCCCCAAACGCCCAAAGGCCTTATACACTTCAAACACTTCCGGGGGCACCTGCGCACAAACCCTAAACCCTAAACCCTAAACCCTAAACCCTAAACCCTAAACCCTAAACCCTAAACCCTAAACCACAGCCTCCAAACCCTAAACCCTCAGCCACAGGGTGTGAACATTAAACCCTAAACCACAGGCTCTAACCACTAAACGCTAAGCCACAGGCTGTAAACCCTAAACCCTAAACCACAAGCTGTAAACCCGTAAACCCTCGACGCTGGGGCCGAGCGGCGCCTTGAGGCAGAAGCCCAAACCCTAAACCCTAAACCCTGGACGATAGTCCACAAAGCCCAGATAGCGCACCTGCGCCCCCCTCAAACCCTAAACCCTAAACCCTAAACCCTAGATTTTGGTTTAAAGGCTCAGAAGCAACTCACTAAATCATAGGGAAGCTCTGTGGTGCTCAAGTTTGCTGCTGAGATGTCGGGGTCCTCCTCTGCTGCTGCTGCTGCTGCTGCTGCTTTGCGGGGCCCCCTGGCAGCTGCTGCGCCTTTTGCTGCAGCCCCACCTTCAGCAGCCTTTTTGGCTTTCTTGTGCTTCGCAAATCCCCCCAGCTGCTGCAGCTTCTGCTGCTTCTGCTGCTGCTTCAGCAGCATCAGCTGCTGCTGCTGCTTCTGCTGCGCAGTCTTCTTCTTAGGGCCAACGCCGCCCCCGCCCTTCGGGCGGCCTTTTGCATGCAAAGAAGTCTTTGGGACTTTCTGAAAAAAAGCTTCTGGGGCCAAAGGGGTACTTACGGGGGCCCCTGGGGGCCCCCATAGGGGGCCCTGAGGCCCCCAGGGGCCCCCACAAGTGGGGCATGGGGGGCCCCTGGGGGCCCCCATAGGGGGCCCTGAGGCCCCCAGGGGCCCCCACAAGTGGGGCCCCCTGGGGGCCCCCAGCGGGGGCCCCCAGGGGGCCTCAGAATAGACTGCGTAGGGGTACTCCTCTCTCGCGCAAGGGTACCCAGCAGCCCCTGAAAGGCCAGCTTGGGGGCCCCTGCTGAGCTTGAGACTGCTGCTGCTGCTGCTAGCTGCAGCAGCAGCAGCAGCAACCCCACAGCCCTCGCCGCAGCGCTGCAGCTGCTGCGGCCTTTGAAACACCGGGGGGCCCCCGGGGGGCCCCCTAGAGGGCCCAATGACAACATAATGGCTCTCGGGGGGCCCCTGAACTGGGGGGCCCCCAACCTCTTGGCTGGGGATAGCCTATTTGGGGCCTCTGCAGTGGGGGGCCCCCATCCCTGCGGCGGGCGAGGGGCCCCCGGGGCCCTCTACAGCTGAATTGCCTTATCTACTGCTTGGGGGGCCCCCAGGCACGCAGCAGCAGCCAGGTCTAGGTCTATCCTAGGTATTTCCCGCCTTTATTTTTGAAAATATTTTCCTTTTTTATATTAATTTATGAATTAACGAATATAATCTGCAACAAAAGCCTAGTAGTGGCTCACGGGGGGCCCCCCGTGAGCCTTGAGAGGCCCCCGGGGCCTTTTCCCACCGCCCCCCTGCGGGCGCTGGAAAAGGGTCCTGATGGAGCTTTTTCTTCGCAAAATTTTGCAATTGATTAATTATAATTACAAAATTAAAAATAAAATGAATTATTCTTCCAAATTTAATCAACACAGCGCTTCCTGCGACCCCTCTGTCTTGCTTTGGGGCTGAAGACTCCTCCATAGACCCCCCATCAACACAGCCCACTTGGGTATGTTAATGTTAGTTCTGTTAGCTAGTCGCCGCCACCAGCTAGCCACAGCTAGCTGTGGCTAGCTGCAGACAGCTGCAGCTAGCCAGGCATGGCTAGCTACTATCCGAAGCTGGCAGCAGCTAGCGGCAGCTAGCCGCTGCAGCTAGCCGCAGTTGGCTCTAGCTAGCCGCAGTTAGCTGTAGGTAGATGTGGCTAGCTGTGGCTAGCTGTGGCTAGCTGTGGCCAGCTGCGGCTAGCCGTAGCTAGCTGTGGCTAGCTGCAGCTAGCTAGCCCCAGCTAGCTGCGGCGCTGCTGGGGGCCCGGGGCCCCCCAGGAGGGGAGAAGAGCGTTCAGGTGTACATACACCAGAGGGCCATAAAACTTGAAGGCGTTTCTGTGGGGAGGAGAAATACCCAGCTTCTGTGTCTTTGACGAAACCAAATAAACATAAAATTGTTTTGTTTTTCTTTGTTTTTCTTCTGTGTCTTTGTTGAAACAAAATAAATATAAAAATGTTTTGTTTTTCTGTTTTTCTTCTGTCTTTTGCCTTTGCCTCTCGTGGTCTAACCAACACAAACACTTACTTTTCCGCGGAGAGCCGCAGCAAGCTGGGGGCCCCCAGGGGCCCCCAGAGGGGCCCCCAGCCCCACAGAGGGGCCCCCAGGGGCCCCCTGTTCCCTAGGGCCTGGGTCTCGTGTCTGTGCATGCATTTTGTGTTTCTATTGTCTCTGTGGGGCCCTCCATATCAGAAAGAAGCCACTGTTGCCTCTAGCAAATGAAAACTAAATTAATTTTATTTCATTTATTCCATTTAAACAACAAACCTTAGTTGTGACGCAGCCACAGCCGGCTGCAACCCGCAGCAGGGGCCCCTCACCTAAACCCTAGGCCGCGGGGGGCCCCCAAGAAAACCCGAAAGGGAAACTCGAAAGCTAAGCACAGAATAAAATGAAACAGAGGAGGCCCCAGGGGCCCCCCGGAAGGTTTGCAACAGAGGGGGGCCCCCGGGGCCCCCCCACTCAAGCCAGGGGAGATACAGAATCCAGGGGGCCCCCCGAAAAGCCTCAAGAGTGACCCTGGGGGCCCCTGGGGGCCCCTGGGGGGCCCTTTTGGGTACTAAGGGTTCACTCAATGAGGCCGCGGTGCAGCTGGAGAACCTGAGGCCCACAAGGATATGCAAAGAGTTCAAAGCAGCACAAGTTCAAGAGGCCCTAGAGAAAGAAGCAAACAGGTGGCTTTGCAGCAGCAGGAGCAGCAGCAGCAGCAGCAGCAGCAGAGGCAGCAAAGGCAGCAACAGAAGCAACAGCAGAAGCACCTGGAACAGCAACGGCAGAAGCGGCAGCAAAAGCAACAGCAGCAGCAGCAGAAGCGGAATCAGGCGCAGCAAAAGCAGCAGCAGAAGCAGCAAGAGCAGCAGCAGAAGTAGGAGCAGCAACAGAAGCAGCAAGAGCAGCAGCAGCAGCAGGAACAGCAACAGAAGCAGCAAGAGCAGCAGCAGCAGCAGCAGCAAATGAAGCAGCAACTCACCATGCGCAGCCTAAAAGCCTTCACAGACTCAGGAGAGAAAAACTCCGGAAGGCGCCGCCCGTCGGCTATACACTCCGCCAAGCAGCAGCAAAAGACCCCACAGTCCACTGCGTTGTTTTGCTGCGGCACTCCGTGCTGCAAGCCGCAGCGCAGCAGCAGCAGCAGCAGGTTAGCAGCAGCAACAGCAGGTTAGCACCAGCAACAGCAGGTTAGTAGCAGCAGCAGCAGGTTAGCAGCAGCAGCAGCAGGTCAGCAGCAGCAGCAGCAACGTTGCAGCGGTCGCACGGTAACAGCAGCAGCAGCAGCAAGGTAGCAGCAGCAGCAGGGCAGCAGCAGCAGCAGCAAAGCGGCAGCAGCCACACAAACGAGCAATCAAACAGCAAATCAATCAATGAGACAAAAAAGATTGCAACAGAAGAGGCTCACAAATAAAGAGAAAAAACCAAACAAAGAAAGTACCTCACAAGGACCACACAGCGAGAGCCCACGGCCTCCGGTCTAGGGTTTAGGGTTTAGGGTTTGTAACGAAGGGTTTAGGGTTTGCAACCAAGGGCTTTGCAGCCGACGGTTTAGGACTTGCAAGCAAGGGTTTGCAGTTCGCAGCCAAGGGTTTAGGGTTTGCAGCCGAGGGTTTAGGGTTTGCAGCGGCGGGGGCTGCGAGAGAGGGCTTAGGGTTTGCAAACGAGGGTTTAGGGTTTAGGGTTTACAGGCAGCAGGCCTCGCCAGTCCTCAGCAGCAGATGGCTGCCTTTTCTTGTCAAAATGCTCCGCCACTAAATAGCTGCGCATTTCCTTGTAGAAGCTGCACACAGCCAAGCCCTAAACCCTAAACCCTAACCCTAAACCCTAGAAACAAACCCCAGCCCAGCCCTGAACCCTAGCCCTAAACCCTAGCCCTAAACCCTGGTCCTAATCCCTAGCCCTAAACCCTAGCCCCAAACCCTATCCCTAAACACTAACCCTAAACATCACACCTCAGCTCGAGGCCTAAACCCTAACCCTAAACCCTAAACCGTAGTCCCCTAAACCGCTGCCACTAAACCCTTGTTTCTAAACCCCAGCCCCTAAGCCCAAGCCCTAAACCCTAGCCTCTAAGCCTCAGCCCTAAACCCTAGCCCCTAAACCCTTGCCCTGAGCCCTCGTCCCTAAACTGTGGCTCTAAACCCTAACCCCAAAACCCTAGCCGTAAACCCTCGCCCCTAAACCCTAGCGCCCAAACCCTAACCTCAAATCCTGTCCCCTAAACCCTAGCCCCAAAACCTAGCGTTGCGTCCTAGGCCTAAACCCTAGCCCCCCTAAACCCTAGCCCCCCTAAACCCTACACCCAAAACCCTAAAACCCTAAAACCCTAAACACTCAACAAAGAAAGCAACTCACTTCACGGCGTCTTCGTCGCTACGGAGAGAATCCAAATACAAAATTTTCTTTGGCCTGCGCACACACAGCGCACTGCTGCTGCTGCTGCTGCTGCTGCTGCTGCTGCTGCTGCTGCTCTCCGTCCTTGCTGCTAAGTGCTTGCTAAGAAACATTGGGGCCTCTAAGGAGCTTTGGGGTCCCCTAAGAACCACTGGGGGCCCCTAAAAAGCACTAGGGGCCCCCAAGGACCATTGGGAGTCTCTAAGGACCATTGGGGGCCCCTAAGCTGCCTTGGGGGCCCCTAAGGAGCCTTTAGGGCTTTTTGGGGGGCCCCCAAAAAGCCCTGGGGGCCCCCCAAATGTGTCAGGGGGCCCCTCTGTTGCTGCTGCTGCTGCTGCTTACTGCAGCAAGACGCAGCCCAAAGCCCAATGGGCCCTTTCTGTCACGTGGACAGGCAGCAGCAAAATGTCGTAAGAGAAAATGTCTATGGATCCCCGCAGCGTCCACCGCTGCAGCCACGCAACACAAACCCTAAACCCTAGGCCTCAAACCCTAAACCCTAAACCCTAAACCCTGAGCCCTAGACGCTGAAGGCTAGGACCCGGAGGGGCAGCAAAAGGCAGGAAGAGCAATACCAAGATGTCCTGCAAAGCGCTGGGCTCTTTGCAAGAAAAAAAGGGAGCTGTGGGCCCCAAACCCTAAACCCTAAACCCTAAACCCTAAACCCGAGTCCTCACCCGCACAGCAGAAAACCCGTAAGAAGACAGGGAGCTGTGGAAGTGGGACGGAAGCAGCAAACACCGGGGAACCCTGTACCACAAGCAGGCTGTAAACCCTAAACCCTAAACCCTAAACCCTCAGCCCTATGCCCCACAGTCAGGCCTCGCTGTCTCGTGGTTTAGGGTTTGCAAACCTCTCTCCAGAAAAAAGGGCCCTGTTGTTTCTCTCCTGCAGCAGCGCGAAGTAAAAGTTTATAACTTCATCATCTAAGAGGCCCCCGTAGCCCAAACAAGTAAGAGACTTTCTGAGACACAAAACCCCACAAATGCATGCAACGGGGGCCCTTTGGGGGGCCCCACAGGCAGCAGCAGCTCCTGTAGGGGACCCAGGGGCCCCTGCAGCAAACAGCAGCTCTTCTATGCAGCAAGGGGGCCTCCCCCAGGGGGCCCCCTCAAAAGGGCTCCCCACAGGGGGCCCCTCCAGGGGGCCCCCCCAGGGGATCCCCCCAAAGGGGCCCCTCCAAGGGGGCCCCTACGAGGAGAACCTCCCAAAGGGGGCCCCCCCAAGGGGGCCAGCCCAAGGGAACTTCCCCAAGGGGGCACACCCAAAGGGGCCCCCTCAAGGGGGCCCCCTCAAGGAGGCCCCCTCAAGGGGGGCCCCCCAAGGGGGCCCCCCAGCAGCAGCGGGGCCCCCCAGGGGGCCCCCCAGCAGCAGCGGGGCCCCCCGTGCTGCGCAGCACAGCGAGTTTCTCTCACCTGCTGAGGCAAATACCAAAGCGGGCCTTAACAGGGGCTTCTTCAGGGGGCCCCCCTGAAGGGTTTTCCCCTGGGGGGCCCCCTTCTGGGGGGCCCCTCAAGAGTTTTTCTGCTGCTTCGACTTCCGCTGCAGCAGCCAGAAAGGAAGCAAAAATGATTTCTTTGAATATTCTTGAGGGACTTGGCCAGTGTATCCTGGGAAATATAAAGAAACTACTTGCAAGCAAGCAGCTGCAGCAGATGCAGCAGCTGCAGCAAATTGCAAATCACCAGCTGCAGCTGCAGCAGCAAATTGCAAATCACCAGCTGCAGCTGCAGCAGCAAATTGCAAATCACTAGCTGCAGCAGCAGCAGCAAATTGCAAATCACCAGCTGCAGCTGCAGCAGCAAGTTGCAAATCACCAGCTGTTCAAGGAAAAAAGAAAATTCAAAAAGTGTGGGGCCCCGACCCTTACCAGCTGTCAATACACCGCAGCGCGACACCCGCGGCTCTGCTGCTGGCCGGTGGCCCTCGAGGCCCAAATCGCCCAAACTTCTAAACCACAAAGCAGAGGGTCCACTTGCTGCTGCTGCTGCTGCTGCTGCTGCTGCTGTTGCTGCTGCTGCTGCTGCTGTCCTGGGGCGCGAAAGAGGGGAGAGCGACTCGCGCTTTGGGCTGCTCTCCTCAGAGAGCACCACATGGCTTTGCTGCTGCTGCTGCTGCTGGGGAAGGTTCTCATCTGTCTCTGCTGCTGCTTCCAGCTCTTGCTGCGCCTGCTGCTGCTGCTGCTGCTGCAGCAGTGGGGGGCAGGGAGAAGGCCCTGACTCGCCCTCAGAGTCTGCTAAGGAAACAACCAGAGGGGGGACACAAAAAGGGGTCAGCGGGGGCCCCCTTGGGGGGCCCCCGGGGGCCCCATCATCTGAAAGCACAATCTCATCCCCTTCGAGGTCCAGGCCTTCCCAGCAATTGGGGGGCCCCCCGTGGGCCCCCGCTAAAGCGGTTTCTGGGGGCCCCTCTGAGGGGCCCCCTGTGCCCTTTTCCTCATCTAGGGGCAACTTTGTCATTGCTGCAGCTTCTGATTCAACCAAAACGGCCCCTGAAGAAAGATGCTCTTGCTGCTGCTGCCCCTGTTGCTGCTGTTGCTGCTGCTGCTGCTGCTGATACTGCTGCTGCTGCTGCTGCTGCTGCTGATGCTGCTGCTCTGTTGAGAGACCTTCAGCCTCACTGCCTTGGTCTGCTTCGGCCTCTGGTGGGGGCCCCTCCCTGCAAGGATGCAGCAGCAAAGCAGCAGCAGAACCGCTGGGGGCCCCCCTTCCTGTGCCCTTTTCGCAGTCTTCCGTAGCCGGGGGCCCCTGCAGAGGGTCACTAGAGGGGCCCCCAGAGTTCAAGTTCTCCGTTACTGTCTCGAGCTCTTCCACCCGCTGCTGCTGCTGCTGCTCCTGCACTTCTTGCTGCTGCTGCTGCTGCTGCTGCTCTTCTTGCTGCTGCTGCTGCTGCTGCTGCTCTTCTTGCTGCTGCTGCTGCACTTCTTGCTGCTCTTGCTGCTCCTGCGGCTGCTGCTCTTCTTGCTGCTGCTGCTGCACTTCTTGGTCCTGCTGCTGCTGCTGCTGCTGTGTTTCTTCCGTGTCCTGCCGCCGCTGATTTACCTCCTGCTGCCCCTGCTCCGACTGTTTCTGTGGCCCCCACTGCGATTCCTGCTGCTTCTGCTGCAGTTCCTGCTGCTGCTGGATTTGCTCCTGCTGCTCTTCCTGCTGCAGGTCCTGTAGATCTTCCTGCAGTTCCTGGCCTTCCTGCACTTGCTGCTGCTGCGCATCCTGCTGCAGCTCGTGCTGCTCCTGCGACTGCTCCTGCTGCACTAGCTGCTGCAGCTCGTGCCCCTCCTGCAGCTGCTGCTGCACCTCCTGCTGCGGCTTCTCCTGAGCCTCCTGCTGCTCTTCCTCTGGCTCTTGTTCGAGATTCGCCTGCTCTTGATGCTGTTGCTGCTGCCCTTCTTGCTGCTCCTGTGGCTGCTGCTGCTGCGTTTCGTAGTGCTGCTGCATCCCCACTCGCTGCTCCGGAATCTGCGCAGGCTGTTGCTGCTGCTGCTTCACCTCGTGCTGCTGCTGCGGCTGCTGCTGCAGCCCATTGGCCGCCTGCTGCAGCTCGTGTGCTTCCTGTGGCTGCCCCGCTCCTTGCTGCTGCTGCTCATTGGAAAGCCCTGTGGGGCCCCACCAGCCGAAAACAGTGGGGGCTTCGAGGAGCAGCGGCGTTGGCGCATCGGCTGCTGCCTCAGCAGCAGCAGCAGCAGCAGCAGCAGCAACTGCGCTGCGTCCTTCATTGCTGTGCAAAACCGCGGGGGTCCTCTCAGCCTCCAGGGGGGCCTCCTGAGGCTCCATGGGGCCCCTCGGGCTTGCTGCTTGGGGGGCCCCCAAGAAGCCCGGCGCTACGCAATGTGCTTCTTGTCTGCTGTTGCTGCTGCTGCTGCTGCTGCTGCTGCCGCAGGGAAGCTGGGGCGCTGCGATGGGCTCCGCATCTGAGCCGCTGCTGCTGCTGCTGCTGCTGCTCGAGAGGCCCCAGTGCCCCCGCTGCAGACAAAGCGCCGGCGGCGCGCTGCTGCGGGGGCGGCGGTGGCGGCTAGCTAGTGCAGCACCTGTTGCTGCATTTCCCGTTGCAGCTGTTGCTGCTGCTGCTCGTGCAGCAAGCGCAGCAGCATCTGCTGCTGCTGCTGTTGCGATTCCAGCGGCGGCTGCTGCTGCTGCTGCCGCTGCTTCCTGCATGGGGAAACTCCCAACTAAGGGAGTTTCCCCAGGCTGTCTACCTGAGGAGATAGTGAGGGGTTTACAAGCAGATGCTTCCAGCGAAGCAGCAGCAGCAGCAGCAGCAGGAGCTGCTGCTGCTGCTGCTGCTGCTGCTCCTGGAGGCGCAGATACTCCCTCATCAACGGCAGGAACTGCGGCAGCTGGCTGGTCCTGCTCAGCAGCAGCAGCAGCAGCAGCAGCAGCAGCAGCAGCAGCCACAGGCGTTAGTGGAGGAGAATCCTCCCTGCTGCTGGCTTCATCTTCGCTGCTGCTGTCGCTGCGCAGCACAGCACTTTGCCCCCCAAAGACCAGCCGGCGGTGAATGCGCTTGAGGGCCCTCACAAGTCTTGCCTCATCCCCTTGGGGGGCCCCCCCGGGCCCTTGGGGGGCCCCCCCGGGCCCTCGGGGGGCCCCCCCGGGCCCTCGGGGGGCCCCCCCGGGCCCTCGGGGGGCCCCCTCGGGCCCTCGGGGGGCCCCCTCGGCCCATCTGGGGGCCCCCCCAGGAAAGCTCTGGGTGGCGCGCAAATCTCTCGCTGCAGCTGATCCTGCTGCTCCTTCCGCTGAAGCTGGTGCTGCTGCTGCTGTTGCTGCTCCCGCAGGCGCTGCTGCTGCTGCTGCTGCTGCAGGGGCAGCGGAAGGCCCTTGTCTCAAGGGGAAGAGAGTGCAGCTCGCGCTGCTGCCGAAAGACACATAACGTGGCCGCAGAACAGGGGCCCCCTCGGGGCCCCCATAGGGGCCCCCCTGGGGGCCCCCATGGGCAGTGTCTTGCAGAAGCAAAGACTCATTTTCAGAAGAGGACCCATCAGAGTCAGCGCTCCCTTCTCTGCCCCAGGCAGCAGCAGCAGCAGCAGCTGCTGCTGCTGCTGCTGCAGCAGCGCCGGGCAGCAGCGGCTGCGCGTGGGTTGCTGCTTCTTTCACTGCTGCAGCAGCACTCCCTCGGCGGGCTCCTGGGGCTGCATGTGCTGCTGCAGCAGCATCAGCTGCAGCAGCAAGAGGCCCCTCCGAGTGCCCTATGAGCCGCAGCAGCTTCTGCTGATCTGCTCTTTGCTTCAAAAAAGAAGCAGCAGATAAGTCAGCTGCCCAAACAGCAGCAAAAAGGGGGCACGAGGAGGCCCCCGCCTGCACCCCCACGGAGGTCAGGGGGGGCCCCCCAGCAGCAGCGGGGGGCCCCCTCCCCGGGCCTGAGAGGGGGGCCCCTCCCGAAGGGGCCCCCGAAACCCTAGGGGACTCACAGGGGCCCCCTTCAGGGGAGAGGGGGGCCCCTATGGGGGCCCCAGCAGCAAGAGCTGAGCGGTGGTGACGGCGTCGCTCACGGCGCCTCCTTCGGGCCTTCCCTGCCTCTTGCTGCTGCTCCTGCTGCTCCTGCTGCTGCGCCTGCTGCTCTTGCTGCTGCTGCTGCTGCTGCTGCTGCTGCTGCTGGCGGTGCTGGGGGCGGTGCTTTGGGGGGTCACTTGAGGCTGAGTAGCCCTCCTCCTCGCTGTCTACCCTTCGCCGCCTGGAAGCCTTATGGGCTTTGCGGCGCTTTTCTGGCTGCTGCAGTTGCTCTTCCTGCTGCTGCTGCTGCTGCTGCTGCTGCTGCTGCTGCTGCTTGTGCTTGTGGCTGGGCTGTGCAGCAGCTGCAGTCGCCGACGCGGGGACAGCGAGGCCCCCTATGAGTCCCACAACAAACGAGAAGTCTCCTTCTAGCTCTGCTTGGGGGCCTCTTACTTGCTGGTCCCCTTTAGGCTGCCGCTTCTGCTGCTGCTGCTGCTGCTGCTGCTGCTGCTGCTGCTGTGTCTCCCCCTTTCCTCTTCTTGACGGGGAGCGGGCCTCAGAGGCCGTCGCGTCCTCTGGGGGGGGCCCCCGGGGGGCCCCCTGGGGGGCTGGGGGCCCCTGGGGCCCCTGGGGCCCCTGGGGCCCCTGATTGCTTTTGCTGCTGCGGCTGTGCGTTGGACCCTGAGGGGCCCCTTGGGACCCTTCGCTGGAGCGGCCGGAAGCTGGCCCTCGGGGCTCTTGCTGCTGCTGCTGCTGCTGCTGCTGCTGCTGCTGCGGCTCTGAATGCGGGGATGGGGATCTATACCCTGCTGCATCTGCCACACTTTCCGCTGCAGCAGCAGCAGCAGCAGCAGCAGCAACGGGCTTGGGCGTGCTCTTTCGCACTCGAGGTGGGGCCTCTTCTGTCTCCTTTTTGCTCCTTTTGCCCCCCATCTTTTTTCGTTCTTTATAAGAGCCAGAAAGGGGTACCTGGGGGCCCCTGCTGGGGCCCCCAGGGGGGCCCTGGGGGCCCTGGGGCCCCCTTGCTTTGCTTGCGGGGGGCCCCCCTGTTTTCTGCTGCTTGTCTGCGGGGGCCTCAGGAGGGGGGCCCCCCGCAGGGTCTGAGCGCCTCCTTTTGCCTCTTTTGGATTTGTTTTTGCTTGTCTGCTGCTCCTCTTGCTGCTCCTGCTGCTCTTGCTGCTCCTTCTGCTGCTGCTCGAAGGGCCGCTGCTGTTCCTGGTGCAGCTGCTGCTCCCGCTGCTGCTGCTGCTGCTGCTGCTCCTGCAGCTGCGACGGCGCGGCTGAGTCCTCACTGCTGCTTAGTCTCCCAGTTCCAGCCAAACCAGCTTCAGCAGCAGCAGCAGGTGCAGCAGCAGCGGTGTCATGCGCAGCAGCAGCAGCAGCAGCAGCAGCGCTAGCTTCGTTGTCTGTGGTCCGCTGCTGCTTCCCTTGCTGCTCTGCCTCTCCAGCTAGAAGAGCCGAAGTCCGCTGAAGGGCAAACTGCATCCAAAAGCCTGTACCCAGTCTTCCTAGGGTACGATTAAGGGGTGGAGGGGCCCCCGCGAGGGCCCCGTGGGCCCCCCCTGGGGCCCCCGAAGGGGGGCCCCCAGGCCCCAGCCCCGCAGGGGGGCCCCCCGAGAGGCCTATCACCAGAGGCGCAGCGCGAGAACCCTGTGGGGCCCTCATTGCCTCGGGAAAGAGGGCCCCCAAGGGGGGTGTTTAGCGCGTCAGAAGGGGGCAGCAGGTGAGTGTGTGATGCTGGCAGACAGGGGGGGCCCCCGGGGCCCCCTGAGGCCGCTGGAGGCTCCTAGAAAGCGCACAGCAGCGCAGCAAAACAACAGGTGGTGCAGCAAAACCTCAAGTCTAAGGGGGCCCCCAGCAGCTGCAGCGGCTCGGCAGGTTTGGCCGCCGGTGGGCCCCCGGTCTTCTGGGGCTGCTGGCTGCTGCGTCTATTCCCGAGGCGGAAAACGAAAACAGCAGCATTCAGCATGAAAGAAAAAGCAAAATGCAAATAAGTTAAAACACAAATTAGAGACACGAGGAACCCACACGAGCCCGCCGGCCTCCATGGAGGTAGGTGGTGAGGTTGGTGGGACAGGGCCTGGGGCCCCAGCTGGCTCTGTTTTCGTTTCTTTTCAGTGTTTTTCACCTCAAATTATTGAATTAATAAACAAAAATGCGAAATTGAAAGCATAACAGTCGTTTTGATGACTAGTATTTCCTTGTACCGCATGCGCCGGAAGTGTAACACCTCTCTGGGTTTCCTGTAAACTGAAAGAGCTGCAAATATCTACTCCTCCTCTAAGTGACGAATACAATACTCTTTTGTAACCTTTCTGTGAGGTCTGGGCGCCTCAGGGGCCCCTCAGCCCGGCCCGCAGGCAGAGCAGGGCCCCCAGCCTCCACTTGCTGCTGCGCGTCTTTGCTGCGGCTGCAACAGCAGCAGCAGCAGCAGCAGCGGCGGCGTCTGCCTCGCCCCGGTGTACATACACCCCAGCGCTGCAGACCCGGCGGTGTGCCAGCTGCTCATCTTCCGCAACAGTTCCTCTAGGCATTGAGACATGTTTGCATGCACAAACACGAAAGCAATATCTGCAAGTACTAATAAAAGAGCATAATTCCTCTTGAACTATCTTTTTGCTTTGCTGCATGTCAAAACTGAACAGCTGTTCGCTCACAGCCTCCCCCGACAAACTCCAAGGCGCACACTTGGAGCCCTTGACCCAAAAGGGGGGCCTCCAGGCTGGTTCATTAGTTCTGTTGCATTCAGAAAAGGGCCCCCTTTGCCTGCCCTTGCAATCGGGGCCCCGGGGGGCCCCCTCGGGGGCCCCCTGGGCCCCACTTGGGTACCCAGGGGCCCTCTCCAGGGACTTTCCCCATCAACGAAAGTTGAAAGCTGCAATAAAAAGTTCAAGTTGGCCCTTTCAGGGCCCCTCTAGCGAACAAGTCTCAAAGGGCACAAAACACCTTTTGGGGCCTCCTTTGGGGTCCCGCAGGGGGCCCCCGTAGGAGGCCCCCCACAGGGGGCCCCTCTGGGGGCCCCATTCGGAGGCTTCTTACGGAGGCCCCAAAGGGGCCTCCCTGGGGGCCCCCAGTACCCCTTCGGGGGCCCCCAAGGAGGCTTCCAAAGGCCTTGCATGCAAGAAAAGTTCCTTATTGTGCTGCAGTCAAAGCGAACTCCACCAAAGTACGAACTCCGTAGCCCGTGGCAGATCCCGACTTAGAGCACCACGCCGGGCCTGCGATGTCTATGTGGGCCCACGGCGTCTGCGGCGAAATAATCACCACAAGTCCAAAAATATGGATTTAGACTTTTATGCACTGGCATACATGCCAATACTAAATATATATACATAATATATTTATATATATGCATATAAATACCAAGAGGAGTAGCAAATGAAGCTGCAGAGAGAAGACTCCTAGACACACAGGGCACACGCCGATGCGGCAGCGGCCAGAGCAGTCGGCAGCAGCAGCAGCAACAGCAGCAGCAGCAGCAGCAGCAACGGCAGCAGCGGGGAAACTGCACCTTCTCGACGAATTCCTTGAGGAACACAGCCGCAGTGATGGCGCCTCCTCCCTTCCCCTTGGTCGCTGTGTTGTTCAAGTCTGCACATTTGGACTCCAAGTTCTCTCTGTAACGAGAGACAAATGGCATGCGCCACATCTTTTCGCAGGACCGGTCTGCACTGTACGTACACCCGAAACACACTGCAGCAGACAGCGCGCTGCAGGCGGCGGCTGGCTCTCAGCCGGAACCGCAGCAGCGGCAGGGGGTGAAGTGGTGCAAGAAACAAGAAAAAGGATAAATCAAAGAAGATTCAAGAAGGGAAACTGGGAACAAAGAAGAAGGGAAAACCAAGAGTAGGCCAAAAAACACCGAAGCTCACAAAGCCAAATGCGAAGATTTAGTGAGAGCTATGTACAGCACCCCAAGACCGGCAGTCACAGCACAAAGTCACAGCAGAAACTAACGGCAGCAGCAGCAGCAGCCGCAGCAGCAGCTGCAGCCGCCGCCGCAGCAGCAGCAGCCGCCGCAGCAGCAGCAGCGACGAACCACTTGAGTATCTTTTCTGCGAGTTGGTCGTCGGGGCTGAAGAGCCCGGCGTAGCTTTCGCCAAGGGCCACGACGCATGCGCCAGTGAGGGTGGCGACGTCGAGGATGGCGTCGACTTGGAGTTTTTCGGCGAAGACGAGAGCGTCTGCGAGAGTGAGGCGGCCCTCAGCGTCGGTGTTTCCCACTTCGACAGTTTTGCCGTTGCTGGCCGTCAGCACGTCTCCCGGCCGGTAGGCCTGGCTGGAAACCATGTTTTCTGCTGCAGCAGCAACGAAGTGGACTTCCACGCCTGCAGGCTGCAGCAGCCCCAGCGCCCGCGCCGCGCCCAGCACTGCTGCTGCGCCCCCCATGTCGAACTTCATCAGCTCAATTGAAGTTTCCGCACGCTTTATGTTGTACCCTCCGCTGTCGAAGCACAGGCCCTTCCCCACGAAGGCCAGCTTCCGCAGGGGGGCCCCCGGGGCCCCCTCGGGGGCCCCCTTCGGGCGGTACGTCAGGTGAATGAACTGCGGAGGGTACATCGAACCCTTGCAGACTCCCAAGTAGCAGCCCATCCCCAGCGCCTCCACCTCCGCCTGACCCAAAATCTTGCACTCCAGGCCAAACTGAAGCAGCACAAAAAACCGTAAAACCAGCAACGACAAAAAATTCAATTTAGACAAAAATCTTCTTTTCAATCCAAAAGCGACGACTTCCCGACAGAAATAGATCTAAAGACAAGTCAGAGCTGAATGCCACAGAAAGGCACATCAAGAGCCCGCAGCAACTGGCACAGAGCCCAGAAAAAATAAGCAAAGAGGTCAAGGAAAAAAGCAAAAAGCCGGAAACGGAAATGAGAAAGTGACCTAGCAGCAAACTGTGTGGCAACGCCAGCAGCAGCAGCTGCTGCTGCAGCAAGCCGCTGGTTCTGCAACCCCGGACTTGCATATGGGGCTGCTGAGCAGCTGATTTCTGCCTCTCAGCAGCAGCAACAGGCTGCTGCTGCTGCAGCAGGCTCAGCAGCAGCAAAACCACAAAAAGAATTGGCTATGTTACCTCTGCTGCCAAAGACTCTGCTGCTTTCGCTAATGTCACTGTGGTGCAGTAGTTCGCCGGGGAGTTGACCAGCTCGCGGGCAAAGTGGACTCCGGCGGCCACATGGCGGGCGGCCTGGGCGCAGCAAACCCCCGTGCAAGTTGAACCCTCAAACCCTAAACCCTAGCTCCAAACCCTAGCTCCAAACCCTAGCTCCAAACCCTAGCCCTGAGACGCCGATCCGCCCCACCTGCAGCACAGCTTCAGTTCCTTCCTTGTTAGCTGCGAATATCGTCAGCTGTTCCACTTCACTCGTCTTCAAGTTCTTCGTGCCAGTCCCCTTGAACCTGCGTGCGTAAACCCCAAACCCTAAACCCTAAACCTCCGCCACAGACCCAAAGCAACAGCACCGCCCCCACCAAGAATGGAAGATCCACAATCCTCTGTACGGGAATTGCAGCAAATGCAGCAGCAGTGGCAGCAGCAGCTGCCGCAGCAGCAGCTGCTGCTAGGGGAGCAGCAGCAGCAGCAGCTTACCTGTTGTCCGGGTTCATTTCGACGAGAATGGTCTCTAACACAGACTGCAATTTTCTGAGGAACATTTTGGGGGCCTCAGGGCAGGGGCAGCCTTGGGCCAAGTCGGGAATGAACAGAGCAGCAGATTTGATCTTCGACTTTTCGCGAAGTGCAGCAGCAACAGCAGCACCAACCACTTGGGCATCGAAGGTCTTGTGCTCTCCGCAGCCAACAGCCATCAAGTAGCGGGGGGCTCCCCCAGGCACCCGCACGGACACAACAGACCTGCAGCGAAGCAGCAGCAGCCAGTGCGCAGTAAGAAGCAGCAGCAGCAACTGCTGCTGCTGCTTCAGCAGCAGCAACTGCTGCTGCTGCAGCAAGGGAGAGTACGCAACAGATGCTGCAGCAGGCAATAGGAAGTAAGCAGCAGCAGATGCAATATGCAGTAGGAGGAAACAAGCAGCAGCTACTACAATCTGTAGCAAACGAGCAGCAGCAGCAAGCAATAGGAAACTAGCTGCAGGCTGCAACAATCAATAAGAAACCAGCAGCAGCAGCAGCAATAAAACAAAAGGAAACAAGCAGCAGCTGGTGTCAGCGAGCAGTGAGAACTATGCAGCAGCTGCTGCAACAAGCTGCAGGAAGCAAGCAGCATCAGCTGCCAGTGCGCAGGGAGAAATAAGGAGCAGCTGCTGCAACGAGCAGCAGCAAGCAAGCAACCAGCAGCTGCTGCAACAAGCAGCAGCAAGCAAGCAGCAATTAAAGAACTCCAAGGAAACCAATAAACTGACTTAGTCCACTGCAACTGCAGCAAAGGCGAGCGCAACAGCGCCAAAGGGAATGTTTGGGGAAAAGAGGAAATTGGGAAAAGGCCACAAAAAGAAAAAAGAAAAAATTTGCAAGGAAGCAAAAACGAGAAGCTTATCAACGGGCCAGGGGAGAGGGCGACAGCCAAACACTGCAGCAGCAAATCCCGAGCAGCAGCAGCAGCAGCAGCAGCAGCAACTCAGCAGCGGCAGAGCCAGGGTAATCGCAGCAACACATCGCCCGCAGCAGCAACAGCGCAGCAGCATCAGCAGCAGCACGTCCACAGCAGCGACAAAAGAGCAGCAGCAGCAGCAGCAAAACGACCACAGCAGCAATCGCAAGACCACAGCACCAACACAGACCGCAACAGCAAATCCACAGCAGCAACAACACCGCCATAACGACGATCCACAGCAGCAGCAGCAGCAGCAGCAGCAGCAGCAGCAGCAACCGCATACCCCGCATCTCCCTTGAAGTCTGCTTCCTCAAGGGCCCCAGCCAAGAGGGCCCCCCGCTGCTCATCAAAGGCAGCAGCCTGGGGGCTGAGGGCCCCCTTAGAGACGAAGACGAAGCAGTCGCCTTTGTAGTTTTCCATGGCAGAAAGAGGTTCAACAGAGAATTTAATCTAAAAGAAGCAAAATAAATAAAAAAAGAAAAAGAAAAAGAAGTCAAACAACAGCCACAGACGCGAGAACTACAACTGCAGCCTGTAGCGCCGCTGCAGCGGCGGCGGGGCTGCTGCAGCAAACAGCAGCAGCAGCAGCAGCCAGACGGCAGCGCAGCGGCAGCAGCATGAGGGGAAGGCAGTAGCGCCAGCATCAGCAAGGGGGAAGGGCAGCAGCAGCGGCGGCAGCACGAGGGCAAAGCAGCAGCCACAGCAGCAGCAAGAAGGCAAGGCAGCAGCAACAGCAGCAGCAACAGGGCCAGGCAGCAGCAACAGCAGCAGCAACAGGGCCAGGCAGCAGCAGCAGCAGCAGCGCCCACCTTGTTCGCCCAGCGACACTCCGTTAGAGGCATCTCCGGGGGGTCTGTCTTGACAGTTCGGGGCTGAGGGGGCACCATGGTGGTTTTGTGTCTTCTGGCAGCAAGTAGCGATGAGCTGGGGTGTACGTACACTTCAAATTTGCTGTGTGGCCGCAGGCAGCCGCTCGAACTGCGCGCAGACTGGACAGAAAAAGGAGGAGCAGCAAATAGAGGCGAAAGAACAGCAGAAGCCACGCGAAACGGAGCACGCATTCTCGCCACTGTTCTCCCAGCCCCTGCTGCTGCAGCTGCTGGCATTTGTGACGGCCACAAACCCTCCCGTGCAAAGCAGTTTAGCTGCTGCACCGGAGCGTTTCGCCCGCGCAACTGCGCTGCCTCCAGCCGTGCAGCGAGGCCGGACTGCAGCAGCAGCAGCAGCAGCAGCAGAGGGCCCCTCAAACGACTAGATCTTGTGTGCATCTGTCTACGGCCCACAAGCGCCCTAGGGAGCAAGTGGGGGCCTCGGACAGAAGCAGGGCTCGGGAGCGCCTCGCTAGGGGTTGGGAGTCGACCACACACTCAATGCTAGGGAAATAGAGGGGGCCGCACTAATGGTACTGAGGTCAAGCTGAACACTCTAAGCAGGCCCCATTAGCCTGCAGAAACTGGCGTCAATTGCGCGCATGCATGGCGGTTAAAAGAACAGTGAAGAGTGCGGAGTGGAAAAGCGCGCAGGGGCTGATGCTGCTGAGGGAAACCTACCCGATGCAACCTCGCAGGCACGAGTCTTCTTCTATGAATTTATTATCTCGTTTTACCTTATTTGAATTCACGAAGGAAGCAAAAGCACCATTAATGTGCGTTCGTCCTCACACACAATGCGCACGCCTCTGACTGCTGCGCAGCGCGACGTGTGTACCTACGTACGCCCCCGGGCAACGCAGCGCCCAGGCCAGTGCCACTTCGGAATATTTTATGCGCTAAGTGGAGGCCAAGTGGAAAATTTGGGAATTAAAAGAATGCCATAATTACTTAGAGTGCACTGAAGCCATACGACGCGTAACAACTCGCCACTTTCAAGTGCCGCGCTGAGGTCGGCTGCGTCTATCGCATACTATTAGCAACGAGGCAGTGTCTACGGTTTTCTGAAAGCCGTTTCAACTGCTGCAATTTATTGCTGTTTTATACAACAAGTAACAGCGCTGCTCAGGTCTATGCATCGCTGGCTACATCGTAGGTGGAGTGTAATAGGGATTAGACAAATTACCTTGAGGAAGTTGGCGCGCCACTGTAAATGCCAGGATAGAGCCAGAAACAAATTGGAGGTGCGAGCCTGGCAGCGTCACCACAACAGTGTAAGAAGGAAGATAAGGGGTTGAGCCACGATCTTGAGAATACCCTAAAGGGAGCACTTAGTTCCATTGGCAGAAGCTCTGAAAGCAGTTTTCAGTCAGATTGTCTACATTCCATGTGCACTGAGTCTCTCATGTGTGTCTAAACCACGGCGTTGCCAATTCTGGATCCGCATGGAAAGTCAACGGGCTTCGGCGTGCCTCCTGTTTGCCTCGTCCTTCCAGGCACTGCGGAGGCTCGAATTTCTTGTTGCTGTTGAACTGCTGCCAAGAATAAGAGCCCACCATGCCTAGATCCAATAGAGCTACTTAAAGATGCCAGTGCTTGCTCCCTTTCCCCAACTTTGCCCTCAGTGCGAGACCTAGCCCCTCTCTGCTCTGTACACTAACCTAAATCTCCTCAAAGTACTGCGAAGTTTTTAAACTCATCTAGGCCATACTGCACTAGTTTTGGCTTTATTTTGGGTTGCTCTATAGCCAGCCAGTGCAAGAGGCCCAAACTACGACTGGCTACGGGAACACAATGTGTTCCGCAGAGACGACATTGCCCCCTCATGGCCTAACAATGCACTATTTGTCCGCTGAGTAGCTGTAAAAGGAACACAACTATAACGGTCCATTCAAGAACTATCAAGTAAGGCAGTATTTGTAACGAGGAAATTGGAAAATTGCAGCTACAAGGGGTGCAGGGAGGAGAAAAGGGGAGTCTGAGGATAGTAAAGCTGTGCATTTCAGGTCTCAAATGACAAGTTCAAGGGTTTGATGGCGCAGTAGAAGAATGGCACATAGAGAAGATAGTTCTAAACCACTGTGAATTATTATTGCATAATTTTTTGGGGTCCTCAGTGCTTCAACAACGCTGAGCTTCTGGCACTTCAGTTTAGGAAAAGGTGTAGAATCAAAGTTGGCATGCTCGCCAAATGCACTACAGTGCGCGTTCAAGCACCGACTTCTCGTTTTCTTACAACAATTCCAGCTTCTAGACAATCCTTCTGTTAAACAAAATGAGGGCGTGGGTCTTTATATTACTTTTTAACATGATGGAACGCTGAATTGCTAGCTTGACCTGGAGGTGTCACGTGCAGACTGGCTGTACAGTGTTTACAAACAGGAGCCGCTGGAAGGTACTCGATCGCTTCAGCAAAAATCTGCTGCCAGCACACTCGAAAGCTCCAACTCGCCAAGAAACCCTGAAGCACTGTTTAAAGGTCAAAGCAAAAGCCTCGTAAGAGGAGTGCCCTGCGCTGCGGACTTTCTTGCACTCTCCCGCGGCCTCAGCGTAGAAGGCTACTCTGTTACCACTAGCTTGGCCGCGTATGTGCCTCAACGCATTTCGAGAACCAGCTAGCTCCGAATTCGATAAGCATTTCACCGCTAATCTCATCTCTTCTGCTGATTTTGCTACCTTTGCTGAATTCCTTTGTTAGCAGCAAATGGGCGAAATGGCACACAGCAGCTCAGATTACTAACGCAACCACTTGCATGCCCGTTGCATCTAAGAGCTTCTAGAAAGGTGGGACAGAGGCCGTACCTTCCACATCTGCTTCAGGTGACACCGAATGAGGTGTTCCAGAGTGACCTTGGTCACGCCGTTGCATGTTGAATGTTTGGAACGAGCTTGGTTAAACGTCTACGATTACGGGCCAGGCTGCATCAGAAACAGTTTTCCCAAAGACCCTTGGACGATTATAGAACTTCTGCGTCAGGGACCCCTATTGCTTGTGCGTTTCTGCGGAATACAAAGTAACCATCTCTCTCTGAACGCAGATTTCGGCTACATTTGATATGCTTTCGTGGTGGTACCCGATGAAAGGAAACAGACAGATCGAAAAGGCATATGTGCACCCTCCCCAGATCTTTTTCTGGCACCCCACGGCATGTAGAGGTGCACTAAGGCATCTATGGAGCCCTTAGTACGCTGCAGAGCCTATGAAACACTTTTGCAGAATATAGCAGAGCACCTGAAGGGCACATGTAGGGAATCTTCAGCCTCTGCATACCCCATTTAAGGCGATGGGCAACGGTGCACCCCCCGGGTTTGGAAACGGACAACTACTTTCTAAGTAAAGGTTAAGCACTTTCCTGGCTAGGGGAGCGATTGAGTACGGCGGTGTATTTCATTGTGCACATTCATCAAAGCACGTACTACAGAAGTCGTGTAGATGCAAGCTGGCTGCCTGTGCAGCTTGGTGGAAGCTCTATTGACCCTTCGAGTCTCGGCGCTGTACCTCTGGGATAGAAATAGTCTTCTACGCCCCATTTTTAAGGCATCTGATTGACTATTTTAAGCTTGGCTCGTAGAAGCCGCTACGTTTCGGGAACTCCGTGTATGCTTTTCTGCATGTTATTGAAGGGAAGTCAAAGTATTACCGCGGGCATCTTCGAACACTGCACTAGAACACATTCAGGAGCTCATGGACCGTTTCAGCTCTTTCATACGTAAATTTTAACACTCTGTCACATGTGGAGGTCCAGTTCACGTATGTTTTAACTCCTATCTACGGGAACAGCGTGCTGCTTAGGGCGCATGCGCGCAACAATCCGTCTAAACTGAAGCTAATTAGAATATGAGATCCTTTGTGCATTTGACAGCAACGGGCGCATTCAAATGCAGCCTTCTTTCTTAAGGTGAGTGGCCAGAGCACAAAAGAGTGAAAGAAGACGTTGCGCGGCCGACTGCGGCGTGCAGTGTCGGCGTTGCGCATAGAAGGTGAAATGAGAGCCTTCCTATGTGTGCTTTGAAATTTTTCAATTCGGGCTTGTACAGTTATACTATTTCGCTTTTATTCAACTTACAGCATGCATTCTTACGGCCACTGCTTCTGACTGCTGCTGCTGCTGCTGCTGCTGTCGCTTAAGCGCTCTGCAGCTGCCGCCAGCCATTGCTCCACTCCCTTTGTTCCAGGCTCCTCCATCGCTTTACCCTCTTGTTTTGTCTTAATTAGGAAGGGCATTACTCAAGCACAGCATCAGTGACTCAATCAATCTCAGTATACACGTTAACAGGCGGCCCGTGTACACAGTCCAAGCATTCGGGGGCCCCCCTGTAGCTTTGAGAAGGCACCCAGCAGGGCCCCTACATATTTGGCAGTGATGATGCTTTCAGAGGTCGAATCGTGGGTTCTAGACGAGTCTGATGGCGCCGACGCTGATCTAGGTCCACCTACTGATAGGGGCCCACCAGGAAGGACCTGGGCCTCCCGAGGGGCCCCACAAGAGGGGTCCCCCGGAGCTCCCTCAGGATCTGCAGTAGACTTGGATGATTTCCTAGGGGACTACGAGCAGCCACAGACGTCATTATGGGCTACAGGAACAGATGTCGATCTGTCGCCTCTGGGGCCCGGCACGAATGACGGTGCAGCAGCAGCAACAGTAGCTGCTGCAACAGCAGCCGCAGCAGCAGTTGCCAAAGACAGATCTAGCTGGCCGCTTCTTCAGTCAGAGGAGCCGGCCCGCAGTGGGCTTACCAGGAGGACAGGGGAAGATTCAACTGACCCTCGGAGGCCTCTGCAAGGGCCCAAACCCCCTTGGGCTCCCCCCAGCTTGAACTGCAGTGACAAGCCAGCATCTGGTTCTTTAGGTCCTACGGCGCTTGGGCGCATGCGCTGGGTGGAGAATTGCTTTTGGGACTTCATGTCTCACGGGAGCATCCGTGGCTTGTGTCGCGAAGTATATTCTTCTGTCTTTCTGTCATATTTATATGTTTTTGTCTTGCTAGTTAATGGGTGGGTGTTGCTGCGGTGGCTTTCCCTGGCCCCCGTGGACGGAATTCTCGTTACTGCGGAGACCTTCGTTTCTTTCATGCTCATTTTTGAGGTTACCCTCAGGTCAATTGTTCTGGTGCGCCTTCTCCAAAAGTGACCCCTTGTACACTGCTTGTAATTTCAAAGACAGGTTGTTGAATATGAGTTCAAACAAGCAAATGGTACAGGAGCAAGTGATAAAACATATCACGTAACGTGTTCAACGCAACTGGCGAACGAATTGAGTTTGTTGCACGCAATTCTTCTTTCTAGTTAGGCCATTAGGTTTTGAGGCGGAGCCCAGAGGAGCTTCGTTTCTTTTAAGGTTTCCCTAGTGTGTGTTTTTTGTTTAGGAGGTGCCCTAATGCAATTCATGCATTCTTGTGGGCCTCAGCAAGAGCGCTGTCTATGTACTTTTCATTGCTTGTTTCACCTGTAGTGGCGTTTGCTTCACGCCGTCTTCATCTGCTTGTTGTCACTCTTTTCTTTGTCCCCAATATTTATTTCTTTTCGCCTTTACTTTGGTAGTTTGTTTCACTTTGACATGTTTCTTCTTGTTTCCATCAGGGCCCTGCCTGCTTATCGTCATGTGCCCACATCTTTGACTGTGCCGTCACTGCCATCTCCGTGACCCTCTTTATCAACAGCGGAGATCTCCAGTCACTTTTCAAGGCTTCTCGGGCCCCTCCTGTGCCTCACGGGACTTCTGGGGCCCCAGGCGCCGCTGACGACGTCCTGAGAGAATTTATGACGGCGCTGCGGATCGTCACGCAAGTTGTGCGTCTCGTGCCTCTCGCAATGCACCAGAAGCGAGCGAAAGTAAGTGTTTTTCGCTTGGACTGTTTCGAGACTGTAGCCTTCCATTGTGGCAGCTTATTGGAAGATTCTTGGAGCAGTGCGACCCCCTGAGGCACTGGTCTGAATCCTCAGCATCACCAGAGGACCGAATAGAGGGGAGTGAATGTTTCACATGTGGAGTCGAAAGCAGCGCCCCACACGAAAAGATGCATGCACAGACTTGGCACATTCGTACTTACTGAGATGTACAAAGCTTGTTGCTTCGCCACGGTGTATGTGATGTAGCTGCCGCAGGATGGTGTCGACTTCTCGCGTTTGGACCCTTACGACGACCTCTGATAACCCCTTTTTTCCTTGCCTACAAATGGCGGAGAAATTGTTGAAGTTGTCGGAAACTAATTACGTCAGTATATAGGGCTTGAAGAATCGCACAGGAGCTACACAACGCAAACACCTTTTTAATTTGTGAGTTGTGTCTTTCGAAGTGCTGTCTCACAATGGCGGCAATTAGCACAATCCAATGGAAGTATTTAGTTTTTCGTAGACAAATTTGTTAGTCCATAAGCTGATTTGTCAGTTAGCCCCTAGAGTGGCCTAGACGCCTACCTGTGAGATTAAGTATAAGGAATACTTACTTGAAAGCCACGGATACCGATAGAAATGTGGATTAAAGTAGTGGAGGATGTGGATAGAACGTGGAGGTTGCTGCCTTAGGGCTTCTCTGGTCGGTTTCCTGGGAGTGCTTTCTGCTAATTATCCTCAACGCTATCCTGTCGCAATCTTTCATACTCTATCTTTCAACGTCGAAGCCTATCAAAAAATAATAATATGCGCAGTGGAAATATTAATTATTTAAATCTTGTGTTTTGAGTGTGGATGCCGTCGACCCACCCATCTTCTCAACGTCGCAAGCAGCAGCGAATGACAAAGAAATTGAAGAAAAGCTTGGGACAGACACGGTTCCAGGATTTGCCTGTTGGTTTGCCCGTGGGGTTAAAGGATCCTGATGAAGACCACACTGCGGGACCTGCCGCTCCAGTGCTCTCCAGAGCACCAGTGTCAACAATTCCCTGTAGCTCAAAAGTGGTGTAGCAGCTGCACGCCGGCCTCTGAAAGCCAGTAGGGGCTCGGTTGTGGAGGCCATCTACTGGCCGGAACCATTTATCATGCCTTGCAAGTATCGGCTATGTTAGCAAACAAGTGCCTACTTTGCTAGTTTAATGCTTAGCAAATACTCTTTCTGTAGAGTTCGGGAGCTCACTTAGTGACGTCGCATTCCAGGCAATGGCTCTATAGAGATTCGGACATTATTGCGCACTGCACGGGGCAGACTTGCACGGAACTTTGGTCGGTCTTCTGCTATGGAATTCGTGGGCCACGGTGGCTAGAGAGGTGCACCAAAATGGCAGACAATCTGCGGGCATTATATATGATATTCCCTTCATTAACTCTGCCAATATAGTATAAACGTCCAATAGAGAGCACACCTTAAGAGAATAAGACGGCCGATCGACGGAGGAAACATGCCCCTTTGTGGCAAGGCAGTGGCCATCCAAGGTTCGGGGTAGGCGGTTACGCTCCTACTTGCACCCCTAGGCAATACAAGCTAGCGCGAAACTGCCAATCCAGGAACTGGGAAGGCAAGCGTTTGCAGATTCGTACCAGCTTAGTTGCCAACTGCGCGAACCTACTCTCATGGTGCCTTTACCCGGACTGAACGGCGAGACGCTCCATGGCTGTGTGGAGAGCGTCAGAAGGACCTTGGATGCGGACTTCTCGAGAAGAACAAAACAATCTAAAAGGCGCCCAGTCTAGTGACTCCTAAGGTGGGTCAGACGGAAGCGTACGAGGGATCGCCTTAGCCCGATTGCTGCAGACAATAAGAGCATAACAAACACCTATAGAGGCGCTTCGCGTATTATGTGCGCAGCGAGCCGCTCTTTCTGACGCGATTTCCGTCGGAATGCCGCGAAAGTCCCCTTGAGGCCACTACGTCTCTCCGTTACATGGCAAGCTCCCGAGAGTCGCTCGATGTTTTGGCGATGAGACGCCCCAAAAGCCAAACCCCCACAAGCAAGATGTAGCTACCCGTTCACGCATATATGAATAGACCTAAGATGCCCAGTCAGTTGTGCTTCAAAAGCACGACGATAATTCAGGCGATCAGAAGCTGGAGATGGCGGTTAGCAGCCAGGAGTCCAACGCGCTTATGTGTCGCCCTCAACCTCTCCGTACCCCTCATGCAAGCAATACGACATGCGTTAAGACAGAAAACTAATTCTCTTCTGCGCTAAATTTAAAAGGAGACTCTCCTGAGTTCCGTGCGGCGAAAGACGGCCGGTGGAGGACAGCTTTTCGTTCGGCCATCGATTTTTTTCGAGGACAAGGTTCTGCTTTTCAGCTTCAAGAGTGTCTCAGCTACCACTCAAAAATGCGTCATAACGGGTCTCTACCATTTACTTGGTTACACTGTTACTGCATGCCTGGAAGTTGTGCTGATATACAGCTCCAACCAAGTGAGGCATTCTCATTCAGGCTCACGCATGTATTTCAGCTCAACCAAATGATCTTTCTGTTTACACATATAGAGCGACAACATCAATACCGGCAGAGTCGAAGTGCCCATCGATACCAACCCTAAGCAGGCACTCACACATTAAAAGGAGCCACCTTGGGTGTTGACCGTTGAACCATTGAGGTCTTGGTTCCAGGTGGTTTCATTGACGGCGATTGCAGGCAACGAAATTACTTTGCGAGATGGGCCTTTCTACACATAAGAACGGCCTTACCGTGCAAATTAATATTCTGGAGTCCCAGGACTCTTAAATATCCCACGACACTCTCTAGCGTTCTATAAGTACCAGGCAGCCCCCTTTTTCAGACGTACATAGGAAGAGCACGGTAAGCGCTGCCTTACTTTGTCCGCTGCTCCAAGGGGCAAAAACTAGCAAACGAACGCTGTTCAGTGGCGAATGACAGTGCGCAAAAAAACTAGCGAACGTACGCTGTTCGGTAGCGGGTGAAAGTTCAAAATTTGAGACAACTAAGTGCCTTAGTTTATATTTGGCAAGTCAATTCGATTCAGTCCGTAGATAGTCCCGCTTGACACTTGTAGACGACTGTAGCTCTAACCTTCAATAGCCGAAAACTGCGGCTTGTATCCCCTTGTAACACTTGGATTTCCTAAAACAAACAGAAACAGGGCTTCTATGTCTCTGCAGGGCGTAAATTTGCAGCGTTCTGGCTGTTTTGGTGACAGCCCCAAAGTTCAGTTTTGCAGCTGAGACTCTCAGGCCTGGGCGCCGTAAGAGCTCCATCTTTTCCACACACCCGCACTATATCTGTTTGCAGACGTTTTAAACCTGTTTATATCACCATTAGCGTTGCTACTGAGCTTAATTGTTGTGGCTAGTTCTAAACTAGCTTTACGAGTGCCAACACACGGCCTGGGCCACACATTCCTCAAGTCCGATTCTCAATGCAGAGAACATAAAACCAAAGCTGGGAAAGAAGTGGTGAAAAAAATCTAAAAGAAAATACGTTCAGGTTAGTCGATGGTTTTGATAGGTTTTATGCACGCTGAAAACATTATTTACAGATGAAGTGCTGGGCCGCTTGACCCCACAACGCGGGACGCAGGCTGCAGCTCCTCGCCAACTGATTATTCTGGCTGGCTCTTGATTTAACTGCAGCAAGTATTGGCCACTTGCTAAAATATAAGAACATTTTTTGGATCTTTTAGACTCAGGCCAACAGCCGACCAACAGTAACAGGATCTGGTCAGCTCTCTGCAGTAGTCGCCAAGTCGCCAGCACGCCTCGAACCGGAGCACATCGACGGCCTCTGCTTCCTGGGTCGCTGAGGTTCGCCTTTTTGAGGCGTTTAGATATTTGTACTGGTCTTCAGCGATGAATGAACTATATTGGAGAAGCAAACAGTAGTGGGCTGCCCCCAGCCTTGTAGCTCCCGCGGCTGTCCGCGGCGACACATGCTGGAAAATCTGCATCGCTGGTAGCAGAGGGCATGACCACTGGGTAAGATGCTACAGCAGTTGCACCGGCATCGATGGCTGCCGCATTTGCTGCTTCTACTGCTGCAGCTGGCAGCGCAAGGACATCAGGCTGCCAACGCTTCCTCAGACCGCTCCGCAGAGGCGGAGCTACAAATGCCTTCTCAGTCGGACTTCCACTGGTCTTTTGCTGCAAAAGGTCCTGAGCTCTCAGCAGCAGGCTTCCCTCAGCCGCAACAGTTTTCTTTCTCGGATTATGCGACAGGGGCTGCGGCCGCCTCTGCGGCAGCTGGAGTGGCAGCTGCGGAAGCAGCAGGAGCAGGCCTTTCAATAGACCACACAGCAGCATCTGATCGGGATCTTCTGAGTCGTTCGCCCAGCCGGAACGTATCGCTCCCCCGAAACCGTTACCGGGAGCTGCTGGGAGACATAGGGGACATATCGGTGGAGGCCTCGAGCCCCACCCTGGACCAGCAGAAGGGCAGGATTATCAGCTCGAGGCTATTTAATTGGAGCTTTAAGGATCTGTATGTCTTTTTGCTTCTGGGGATCGCCGTGTATGGGGTGCTGGCGCTGCGGGACAAGCTGGAGGCCGCAGCCGTGGTTAAACAGCTAGTCACCGTGGAAACTGCAGCAATTGAGGCTGAGCAGCTAGGTGCAGCTGTGGGCACGCAGGCTGCTCTAGCTCTCAAGGACAATATTCACAATACAGTGTTTGATGCTGTGGAGATGAGCGAGGAGCTGCTGGTGCAGCAGCAGCGACGCATGGTTGTGTTGCGGGCTACGGAGAAAGAGCAGCAGCTTCTGCAGCAGATCAAGGCGCTCATGAAAGACTCTGTAGATCAGATGCGGGAAATGCTTCAGCTTTCAAAGGAAACCATGACGGAGGCCGCTGCAACCTTCCCCACGGCCAAGCCGCCGGTGACCTGGATCAACTCTACGGGGAACCACCTGAAGCTGCTGATGGGGGCAGATTACACAGCGGCAGTTTCTACGCTGCTTCACTTGTTCGAAGATGAGAACACTTACTTAAGAGCCCGCATCGACGCCGTGAGGGACATTTTCTTGGCTGAGCCGGTCTTCGGCAGCGAGGTGGAGGGGCAGCAGCTGTCCACAGCCCTGCACCACCTGCAGTATGGCTGGGCTCTCAAGAAAGGAGCCAACCTGGGTCTTGCTGCAGCTACGGATTTGCGAGACGGCACTTTCGAGGCGCTGAAGCGCGCCGTCACCAACAGCCTCGAGGCGCAGAGGCAAGGCTTCGCTTTCGGGGTAGAAAGGGTGCGCGCGGTGCTGCGGATGTACGGGGCCCCCGACGACGGCTTTTCTCGCA